TGTCTCAACACTAGGACATGAGAGGAAAACAATGTAAGATAATGTAGCTGAGGATCACTGAAAGATTATGAATAAACTAAAGATCACTGAATAAATATTATTCAACTAGAGATCACATAACTGTGATGAAACAAAATAAAAATCACTGAATGATTATGATGAAACTAAAGATCACTGAATGATTTTAATGAAACTAATATCATCAAAGGATTATGGTGAAACTAAAGACAAACTTAATGTAAGTTGGAGACTGTGAAGATGTGATCACAGTAGACTGCTTGCCTCCAGGTGTCAGGTAGACCATATCATGGGCTGCTAGATAGCGAAAATGACGAAAGGTAGTTCAGCCCTGACAAGACTCTGCCGGCCAGACACAGACTCTGCTGGCTGGACACAGCTGCTGGAGGCCACACAGACTGCACTCATACAGTTGCTGACAATAGTCACAACCAGGTGACAGCAGCTAGTTATGTGGGCTAGTGCTTGACGAAACTGGCCTAGCCCACACTGTAGCTGTGCGCAGCAACGAAAATAAACAACCCAAGCGTATAGTAGAAAAACAATTTTGACAGTCAAACTTTCAGTACTAGACAACTCACTTTGCATTCTATATACTGTACGTGGGGGATGGGGGGGGGGGGGGGGGTCATCTTCAGCTTTCTTTCTTTAGTCAGCAGTCAGCTCTACATACTCCTGATTACAAGAACTAATTAAAAAAATATAGTTGTGTATCCTTTACAGGACGTTGCAGAACCAACCCCAGCACTTTCTGGCTGTTGTGGTTTTTCTAGGCAAATTTACATCCAATAGTTTGCCATTGATTTCTGGACAGTCGGCTCTCGGTACCACGGTCGAAACCATTGCAAGACAACCCATCCGCAGCAGGGATCGAACCCGGCACTCCGACATTACGAAACGCATTCGCAACGCCTAAGCCACAGACACCTACACAAGAACTAATAGCAATAGAAAAACACAAGTCATACTATTTATTGTATAAGCTTACACTATGTGAAAATGTATTTACTTTATATTATTACTTCTGTCTTTGTTGTTGTTTTAAGCCAGATGATTGCAGGTAATGCTCACAGACTGATCAAAGAAACTAGATGTAGACAGTGAAGAATTGTAGCATATGTTATGAGAAGGAAACAACTAGAAAATGTGATGACAACTGGCAAACCTGATGGGAAAATAATAAGCGGATGACAAAGAGATGTTATATCATCACAAGACAATGAACACTTGGCATTTCCATGTATGCTCAGTCCTCTGATGCAGTAGCCACCCCATGACATCTCTACTAGAACAGATAAATATGTGGATGGCATGGCTGATCACTTGGTGTGGTCAGGACAAGAACACAACACTTTTGGTGTTCATGTACAAAAGGTGAACCTTCCCTGCCTATGTTTAACAATACAGCACCTGATCATGAAGGCTGTCACTGCTATGACATCTATTGTTATGATTGTATTTTTGTAAATGAGACGGACGTTTCCTTTTTTTTCATGACATTCTAACAGGTTCAGTGTTGTCTACTGTAAAATACTGGGCTAATGCAGGAGAACTCTCAAGTTCAAAACATGAAATCTAGACAGAAAACAGTGATGCTTAAGGTGCCAGAGAATCAACATTACCACAGTGGGTGTGAGAGAATCAACATTACCACAGTGGTGGTGTGGGTGTGAGAGAATCAACATTACCACAGTGGTGGTGTGGGTGTGAGAGAATCAACATTACCACAGTGGGTGTGAGAGAATCAACATTACCACTGTGGTGATGTGGGTGTGAGAGAATCAACATTACCACAGTGGTGGTGTGGGTGTGAGAGAATCAACATTACCACAGTGGTGGTGTGGGTGTGAGAGAATCAACATTACCACAGTGGTGGTGTGGGTGTGAGAGAATCAACATTACCACAGTGGGTGTGAGAGAATCAACATTACCACAGTGGGTGTGAGAGAATCAACATTACCACAGTGGTGGTGTGGGTGTGAGAGAATCAACATTACCACAGTGGTGGTGTGGGTGTGAGAGAATCAACATTACCACAGTGGGTGTGAGAGAATCAACATTACCACAGTGGTGATGTGGGTGTGAGAGAATCAACATTACCACAGTGGTGGTGTGGGTGTGAGAGAATCAACATTACCACAGTGGTGGTGTGGGTGTGAGAGAATCAACATTACCACTGTGGTGGTGTGGGTGTGGGAGAATCAACATTACCACTGTGGTGATGTGGGTGTGAGAGAATCAACATTACCACAGTGGTGGTGTGGGTGTGAGAGAATCAACATTACCACAGTGGGTGTGAGAGAATCAACATTACCACAGTGGGTGTGAGAGAATCAACATTACCACAGTGGGTGTGAGAGAATCAACATTACCACAGTGGTGGTGTGGGTGTGAGAGAATCAACATTACCACAGTGGTGGTGTGGGTGTGAGAGAATCAACATTACCACAGTGGGTGTGAGAGAATCAACATTACCACAGTGGGTGTGAGAGAATCAACATTACCACAGTGGGTGTGAGAGAATCAACATTACCACAGTGGTGGTGTGGGTGTGAGAAAATCAACATTACCACAGTGGTGGTGTGGGTGTGAGAAAATCAACATTACCACAGTGGTGGTGTGGGTGTGAGAGAATCAACATTACCACTGTGGTGATGTGGGTGTGAGAGAATCAACATTACCACTGTGGTGATGTGGGTGTGAGAGAATCAACATTACCACTGTGGTGGTGTGGGTGTGAGAGAATCAACATTACCACAGTGGTGGTGTGGGTGTGAGAGAATCAACATTACCACTGTGGTGGTGTGGGTGTGAGAGAATCAACATTACCACTGTGGTGGTGTGGGTGTGGGAGAATCAACATTACCACTGTGGTGATGTGGGTGTGAGAGAATCAACATTACCACAGTGGTGGTGTGGGTGTGAGAGAATCAACATTACCACTGTGGTGGTGTGGGTGTGAGAGAATCAACATTACCACAGTGGTGGTGTGGGTGTGAGAGAATCAACATTACCACTGTGGTGGTGTGGGTGTGAGAGAATCAACATTACCACAGTGGGTGTGAGAGAATCAACATTACCACAGTGGTGGTGTGGGTGTGAGAGAATCAACATTACCACTGTGGTGGTGTGGGTGTGGGAGAATCAACATTACCACTGTGGTGATGTGGGTGTGAGAGAATCAACATTACCACAGTGGTGGTGTGGGTGTGAGAGAATCAACATTACCACAGTGGTGATGTGGGTGTGAGAGAATCAACATTACCACAGTGGTGGTGTATGTGCCTGAGTAGCACAGGCTGAGGTGTCAAGTTCTGTAGAAATGTGAGGTAGACTGAAAGAAAGCATATAACAATTATCTGTACTTGTCTGTCTCCAGCAAGAAGACAAGCTGGTGAGGTAACTATGCTGTACAGAAAGTCACAAAAAAAACACTTCACTGGTTATCTGTCATTCATACAGCTAGTTGCTACAGAAATCTTTCACGAAACAGTTATCACTATGACAATTGACTAATGCTGGTGTCCGGCACAATGATTATCTGTTGGCTGACTACACGCCCAATCGTACAGACTACTTTCTGTGATTTCTCTGGTAACTGATCAGTGAGTTTAAGAATCAACAGAAAAAGGGTAAAAAATATCAAGTCCAAGAAATGAACTGAGTTGTTAAATAAATAAGAGCAGTCTTGCCACAAGACTAGAAAACATGTTTGTACACTCAATTAAAAGTGTTCATGTAAGGACTGACCATTAAACAATAGGGTAGTCATCTACTAGCGACAATCACACAAGTACAACATTAACTTAGTCACAGGTTAGGACTAGAATTGCTTAGAACACATCAACTCAGAGATATAGCTACAAAAGCATACAATATATGTCAAATTCATAAAAACAAAGTCTGACTTTTTCAAGTTGCCTGAAGCAACCTTCCTGTAACTTTGGCCCAAAAATGTGAGCCATTACAAGTGGCTTGTGCGAGGGTGAGTCAACAATTACTGGCACTCTGGTTATAGAAAATGTTCTGTAAGCTGTACTGTCTTATTAGTGCTTCCTGTTCAAGTCACTGCTGTACAGTTATGGACATGTTATGTTATGGCCAGTACTGGAAACTGGTTCAACAATCAACAGTGGTCATTACACTAAAATACTCATTGTTGTACTGAAGCCTAAACCCTGGATAAATACAGAAAGGTGCTATTTGAGGCTGCTGTGATCTTGTCCTCTGCCCACTACTGAATTGTTAAAGCTTCTTCTTCTTCTTCAACTTTACCAGCTGCAAACTGTGGTTGTTTATCAAATTATGGACTGTAGTTCTCTTCCAGAACCTGAATGTTGTATGCATGTCCATTTCATAGATCTGACTCATTTGTCAGGCAGACACACTGTGACTGTGAAGAAGTTTTAAAGCAACCTTGCTCCATCAGACTTTCACTTGTCTGATGCCCTAAAAACAGCCCTGCAAGGACAAAGGTTCACCTCTAACAAAGATGTAAAGACAACAGTCTATCGATGGCTTGTTGCTGAACCTAAAACTGTCTTTAAATAAGAGAATGTGAAAACTTGTTGACAGATAAACAAAGTGGACTGCAAAAACAAGTGAATTATGTCAAATCATGATGCATTTGTCTTCTATAAAAGTTATTGATATAAACTTTACAGCCAGAGTTTGGATAACTGGCCAGTCAACTTTTAATATACTAAGATTGAAATAATGGTCACAGTTTTTTTTACTTAACAGGTTTGTAACTGTTCCCACTTTGTCAGTTCAAAAAACATCTCTCAATCTAAACACAGCAGTCAATTCAACACAACTCAAAACAGTAATTCAACCAATATCAAGAACAAAAAAGAAGAAATGACAATCCACTGTAAACAAAACAGGAGACGTACAGCTGAGATTCAATGTAAAAATTGTATGAAAACTGGTATAAAAGTGCATCCATACTTGTTGTGTTGAGAAATGTACATTATGCAAGATCACTGTAAACTGTCCAATGCTGCGTTAAATCTCAAGATATCAATCAGGGTCATCCCAAACTGTCTCTCTAGGCTATTGTGAAAATATTCCGGAGCCTGAGGAGTTCAATATATTTGTAACACAATTAAGTGATACACAGGAAACATACTACAAACAGACAGACAGACAGACAGACAGACAGACAGACAGATTTCACACATTTTGGCCACATCAAGGGATACAACTTACTCCATAAATCTTGTTGTTTGCCAATTATTCTCAATAAATAACTTCATGTGTTGCCAAAACTCAATAAGTCATTTTATATACCAGTTATACTCTTCTTCTTCTGCCTTGTATCCCCCAATCGAGCACAGGTCCTCAACCAACTCATGTCAAGTCGTTCTTTCCTTTTCTTTTGCAACATGTCTTCCCTATCTTCTTTATTTCATTCTCTGGCTCACATCTTCATGCTTTTTTTTTTTACTTCTACATACATGTGGGTTGGTGATATTCTATAAATCACTGTACACACTGGTTATACTATGTATGTGTGTGTGTATGTGTGTGCGTATGTATGTGTGTGCGTGTGTGCGTGTGTGCGCGTGTCTATGTGTGTGTGTGTGTGTGCGCGTGTCTGTGTGTGTGTGTGTGTGCGTGCGTGCGTGCGTGCGTGCGTGCGTGCGTGCGTGCGTGCGTGCGTGCGTGCGTGCGTGCGTGCGTGCGTGCGTGCGTGCGTGTGTGTGTGTGTGTGTGTGTGTGTGTGTGTGTACTTAGTGCCTATATGTTTGTGTGTAAGTGAGTCATTGGGCTTGTGTGTGTATGTGGGTGTGTGTGTTCGCGTGTGTACATATTTTACCAGCCATGCTTTTGTTTTTGACTTCATATATATAATATGCATATTATTACATGAATATAACATGCTTCATGAATATAACTGCTGTGTGAAAGATGGAAGTTTGGAAGGGTCGAATGTAAGACAGGCCTGCGTGCCTAATTTGTAACCCTTTGAAAATAAAGTTCGTTCGTTCGTTCTCTCTACCCTTACCCTGACGATACACTAACACATCGTCAGCATATGACAGTGTTATTCCGGGTCCTGTGATTTGCTCGCCTGTGATTCTCACTGTGTAAATGTTAAACAACACAGGAGATAATGGCAATCCTTGTGGCAGCCTGGGATGTTTTACTGTTGGTTCAGATTAAATGTAGACAAGATCAGATGATAGATGAGTATGTTTGTCACACTGACCTATAACCTAGAATGACAACACAAGAAGCTCAGTTTTAAATGAGAAAGTATTTGAATAAACTAGGATGTGCACATTCCCTTACCATTTCCCTCATTCGTTTTAGCTGCCAGATTAGCTGTCCATCAATCTGAGAGAAAGCTGTTGTTAACCTGAAAAATAGTGTACATGATCACTGTTTGGACTTCACATGCATGCACTAGACCATCACTAGATCATAACTAGATCATCACTATAGAGATCATCACTAAATAATCACTACATTATCACTAAAGAGATCATCACTAGATCATTAGATCACCACTAGATTATCATTAGATCACCACTAGATCATCATTAGATCACCACTAGATCATCATTAGATCACCACTAGATCATCACTATAATCATGAACATTTCACCAACCTACGATTAAGGACCTGAAAGATACCACCAGCAGAAACTGCAGACAACCATCACTTTGCTTTAGTCACTCACCAATCAGCAGTCTGCATGCCACAGTCTGTGTCCAGCATCATGTGCCTCTGTTATCCCCCTTCCCGTTCCCATTCACTGCATCGGAAGTCAAGGTTCATACAGGGTTCTGGTCATTGCTTCTCTGGCCACCTTGACTACAGATACTTAGTACTGTTGTAATCTTTCTGACGCTACTGTTGTAATCTTTCTGATGTTACTGTTGTAATCTTTCTGATGTTCTGTTGTAATCTTTCTGATGTTACTGTTGTAATCTGTCTGATGTTACTGTTGTAATCTTTCTGATGTTCTGTTGTAATCTTTCTGATGTTACTGTTGTAATCTGTCTGATGTTACTGTTGTAATCTTTCTGATGTTCTGTTGTAATCTTTCTGATGTTACTGTTGTAATCTTTCTGATGTTACTGTTGTAATGTTTCTGATGTTACTGTTGTAATCTTTCTGATGTTACTGTTGTAATCTTTCTGATGTTATTTTCCCACCATCACAACGCACTATAAGTGGAAAAAAGATTTACTTGCTGGTTTTTTTGGTATTATTTTAGTAGTTATTCTATTGAGGTTTTTCTCTTATGACATCATTCCCGATTCTTTCTCCTCACATCACATCCACAACCTTCATTTAACATCTCATTTCCATCAGGCAACATGGATGCTGATAAACTAAAATACCAAGCCCTCTTGAACATGCTTCCATGCTGACACAATTATATTTTACAAAATCACTTCAATTAATTGCTGGGTTGGATTAACAATGTTGAACTCTGGATGAGAACTTAAATCCCAGTAAATCAAGAGGTAAAGAAAAGTTGCTGGCATTGGATAGGACACACATTGAGAAATTTGAGAACAATATTACTAGAATGTCTTTGCACTGGAACCCACAGGGGCAAATAAATAAAGGTAGACCCCCCCCCCTCCCCCCCCCCAAAAAAAACACATTTTTTTGTTAAAGATAGGGAGGATATGGGGTAAGCTGCATGCAATAGGATATGACAACCTAACATGAGTTGGTTGAGGGTCTATACTCTAATGGGGCAGAAGAAAAAGAAAATAATTCAATTCCCAATCTCTATCCTAATATTTACAATAAACAAGAGTAACAATCAGAACTGTGTACAAAGGTTACAACAAACACACCACCACAACTGTGTACAAAGGTTACAATTAAAACACCAAGTGAAGGAGTTAAATCATTAATGCAGATAAAATGGGCCAGTGCCAGAACTGAGTGAATGTTGAATTACAAATCAACATCACAGCACTCTGGACGCCCCCATAAGCGCTCTGTCCCCATCTTCAGCAGTAAGCAAAGAGTTAAAATTTAGATGGTACCAGTAGCTGTCTAACTGTATATCTGTCTCGCCTTTCCCCTGAGTGTTGAGCGTCAGCCAGATCCCTTTGTAACTCCTTGCAGTGCCATTTTCCTCAGACCTTAATGATCTATCAGTTCCTCTGCACTGTTCACTCACTCCGAAAAGGCCCTCACAACATCCAGCTTGTCATATATCATTTCAACAGCAAGTGGTGGAGAACCAGCCAGTCTAGCTGCCTGCTCATTTCCCAACACACAGGCATAACCTGGAGAAAATATCCAAAGGATGCTAAGTACCTGGGACCTTTGAAGTGATGCTTGCCACTCTGCATAAAGCATGCCTGTCTCCACCGTTATCAACATGATCGGTGAGTCAGTTTCAATGACAGCATGTGTGTAAACTGAGTGAGAAAAGTACAGTGAAGGAAAGTACAGCCTGTGGGGAAGGAATGCAGGGTACACTGGCAGCTACAGAAGTCAACAAGTACAGGATACCTGCCAGTACAGCCTGTAAGGAAGGAATGCAGGGTGCACAGGCAGCTCCAGAAGTCAACAAGTACAGGATACCTGCCAGTACAGCATGTATGGAAGGAATGCAGGATGCACTGGCAGCTACAGAAGTCAACAAGTACAGGATACCTACCAGTACAGCCTGTAAGAAAGGAATGCAGGGTGCATTGGCAGCTCCGGAAGTCAACAAGTACAGGATACCTGCCAGTACAGCCTGTAAGAAAGGAATGCAGGGTGCACTGGCAGCTACAGAAGTCAACAAGTACAGGATACCTGCCAGTACAGCCTGTAAGAAAGGAATGCAGGGTGCACTGGCAGCTCCGGAAGTCAACAAGTACAGGATACCTGCCAGTACAGCCTGTAAGAAAGGAATGCAGGATGCACTGGCAGCTCCAGAAGTCAACAAGTACAGGATACCTGCCAGTACAGCCTGTAAGAAAGGAATGCAGGATGCACTGGCAGCTCCAGAAGTCAACAAGTACAGGATACCTGCCAGTACAGCCTGTAAGAAAGGAATGCAGGATGCACTGGCAGCTCCAGAAGACAACAAGTACAGGATACCTGCCAGTACAGCCTGTAAGGAAGGAATGCAGGATGCACTGGCAGCTCCAGAAGTCAACAAGTACAGGATACCTGCCAGTACAGCCTGTAAGAAAGGAATGCAGGATGCACTGGCAGCTCCAGAAGTCAACAAGTACAGGATACCTGCCAGTACAGCCTGTAAGAAAGGAATGCAGGATGCACTGGCAGCTCCAGAAGACAACAAGTACAGGATACCTGCCAGTACAGCCTGTAAGGAAGGAATGCAGGATGCACTGGCAGCTCCAGAAGTCAACAAGTACAGGATACCTGCCAGTACAGCCTGTAAGGAAGGAATGCAGGGTGCACAGGCAGCTCCAGAAGTCAACAAGTACAGGATACCTGCCAGTACCAGCTACAGAAGTCAACAAGTACAGGATACCTGCCAGTACAGCCTGTAAGAAAGGAATGCAGGGTGCATTGGCAGCTCCGGAAGTCAACAAGTACAGGATACCTGCCAGTACAGCCTGTAAGAAAGGAATGCAGGATGCACTGGCAGCTACAGAAGTCAACAAGTACAGGATACCTGCCAGTACAGCCTGTAAGAAAGGAATGCAGGATGCACTGGGCAGCTCCAGAAGTCAACAAGTACAGGATACCTGCCAGTACAGCCTGTAAGAAAGGAATGCAGGATGCACTGGCAGCTCCAGAAGTCAACAAGTACAGGATACCTGCCAGTACAGCCTGTAAGAAAGGAATGCAGGATGCACTGGCAGCTCCAGAAGACAACAAGTACAGGATACCTGCCAGTACAATGTAAGGAATGCAGGATGCACTGGCAGCTCCAGAAGTCAACAAGTACAGGATACCTGCCAGTACAGCCTGTAGAAGAAAGGAATGCAGGATGCACACTGGCAGCTCCAGAAGTCAACAAGTACAGGATACCTGCCAGTACAGCCTGTAAGAAAGGAATGCAGGGTGCATTGGCAGCTCCAGAAGTCAACAAGTACAGGATACCTGCCAGTACAAACCTGTAAGAAAGGAATGCAGGATGCACTGGCAGCTACAGAAGTCAACAAGTACAGGATACCTGCCAGTACAGCCTGTAAGAAAGGAATGCAGGATGCACTGGCAGCTCCAGAAGTCAACAAGTACAGGATACCTGCCAGTACAGCCTGTAAGAAAGGAATGCAGGATGCACTGGCAGCTCCCAGAAGTCAACAAGTACAGGATACCTGCCAGTACAGCCTGTAAGTAAAGGAATGCAGGATGCACTGGCAGCTCCAGAATTCAACAAGCAGGATACCTGCCAGTACAGCCTGTAAGAAAGCAGGATGCAAGTAGCTCCAGAAGACAACAAGTACAGGATACCTGCCAGTACAGCCTGTAAGGAAGGAATGCAGGATGCACTGGCAGCTCCAGAAGTCAACAAGTACAGGATACCTGCCAGTACAGCCTGTAAGAAAGGAACACTGGCAGCTCCAGAAGTCAACAAGTACAGGATACCTGCCAGTACAGCCTGTAAGAAGGAATGCAGGATGCACTGGCAGCTCCAGAAGTCAACAAGTACAGGATACCTGCCAGTACAGCCTGTAAGGAAGGAATGCAGGATGCACTGGCAGCTCCCAGAAGTCAACAAGTACAGGATACCTGCCAGTACAGCCTGTGCACAGGCAGCTCCAGAAGTCAACAAAAGGATACCTGCCAGTGCAGAAGGTGCCAGGATGCACTGGCAGCTACAGAAGTCAACAAGTACAGGATACCTGCCAGTACAGCCTGTAAGAAAGGAATGCAGGGTGCACTTGGCAGCTCCGGAAGTCAACAAGTACAGGATACCTGCCAGTACAGCCTGTAAGAAAGGAATGCAGGATGCACTGGCAGCTCCAGAAGTCAACAAGTACAGGATACCTGCCAGTACAGCCTGTAAGAAAGGAATGCAGGATGCACTGGCAGCTCCGGAAGTCAACAAGTACAGGATACCTGCCAGTACAGCCTGTAAAGAAGGAATGCAGGATGCACTGGCAGCTCCAGAAGTCAACAAGTACAGGATACCTGCCAGTACAGCCTGTAAGAAAGGAATGCAGGATGCACTGGCAGCTCCAGAAGTCAACAAGTACAGGATACCTGCCAGTACAGCCTGTAAGGAAGGAATGCAGGATGCACTGGCACTGGCAGCTCCAGTAAGTCAACAAGTCAACAAGTACAGGATACCTGCCAGTACAGCCTGTAAGAAAGGAATGCAGGATGCACTGGCAGCTCCAGAAGTCAACAAGTACAGGATACCTGCCAGTACAGCCTGTAAGAAAGGAATGCAGGATGCACTGGCAGCTCCAGAAGACAACAAGTACAGGATACCTGCCAGTACAGCCTGTAAGGAAGGAATGCAGGATGCACTGGCAGCTCCAGAAGTCAACAAGTACAGGATACCTGCCAGTACAGCCTGTAAGAAAGGAATGCAGGATGCACTGGCAGCTCCAGAAGTCAACAAGTACAGGATACCTGCCAGTACAGCCTGTAAGAAAGGAATGCAGGATGCACTGGCAGCTACAGAAGTCAACAAGTACAGGATACCTGCTAGTACAGCCTGTAAGGAAGGAATGCAGGATGCACTGGCAGCTCCAGAAGACAACAAGTACAGGATACCTGCCAGTACAGCCTGTAAGGAAGGAATGCAGGATGCACTGGCAGCTCCAGAAGTCAACAAGTACAGGATACCTGCCAGTACAGCCTGTAAGAAAGGAATGCAGGATGCACTGGCAGCTCCAGAAGTCAACAAGTACAGGATACCTGCCAGTACAGCCTGTAAGAAAGGAATGCAGGATGCACTGGCAGCTACAGAAGTCAACAAGTACAGGATACCTGCCAGTACAGCCTGTAAGGAAGGAATGCAGGATGCACTGACAGCTCCAGAAGTCAACAAGTACAGGATACCTGCCAGTACAGCCGGTAAGGAAGGAATGCAGGATGCACAGGCAGCTCCAGAAGTCAACAAGTACAGGATACCTGCCAGTACAGCCTGTAAAGAAGGAATGCAGGATGCACTGGCAGCTACAGAAGTCAACAAGTACAGGATACCTGCCAGTACAGCCTGTAAGGAAGGAATGCAGGATGCACTGACAGCTCCAGAAGTCAACAAGTACAGGATACCTGCCAGTACAGCCTGTAAGAAAGGAATGCAGGATGCACTGGCAGCTACAGAAGTCAACAAGTACAGGATACCTGCCAGTACAGCCTGTAAGAAAGGAATGCAGGATGCACTGGCAGCTCCAGAAGTCAACAAGTACAGGATACCTGCCAGTACAGCCTGTAAGAAAGGAATGCAGGATGCACTGACAGCTCCAGAAGTCAACAAGTACAGGATACCTGCCAGTACAACCTGTAAGAAAGGAATGCAGGATGCACTGGCAGCTACAGAAGTCAACAAGTACAGGATACCTGCCAGTACAGCCTGTAAGAAAGGAATGCAGGATGCACTGGCAGCTACAGAAGTCAACAAGTACAGGATACTTGTCAGGCTAGGGCCAGACTGGACACATGATGCTTGACTCCTATTCTATAGATCTAATTGATACTTGTTGAGTGATATAATCAACATTCCACTGGCCCACTTTTACTTCCCAGGACATTCCCTGGTACTCATTTTCAGGCTGGATCAACCTGGGAACTAAGATCAATTTTTTTTTTTAATCTGCATGGATGTGGATTTCAACCTAAAATCTTCAGGCAGGCGGGTTAATGGTAAAAGACAACAGATGTATCAGAGCTGAACAAAATGTTGACACTGTAACAAAGAAGAGTTGAGATGAAGTGGGATGGGAGTCAGGAATACTCACCGCTGCAACCCTTTGGAGACCAGCCAACTCTCCACATTCTCGTTGCTCATGGAGACCACGGCTGAAGCATTGTTGCCATTGCTGAAGGGGGTTGAAGGGGAACTGCCGATGACTGATGCATTATTGGCTGCTGGGTGTGCTGCGTGGATGTCATCTGCTGTCAACAACAACAACATTTTAAACATAACAACATGTTCAAGTCTGGAGGATCGACTTCATTGCACTAAGTGTTATTACGTATGGCTCAGTCTCTCTCTGCAGAACAGCTAGTGTGTCACACAAAAACTGAACAACACATCTGATCTCCTTAAAAACTGCACTCATGAACTGAACGACACATCTAATCTCCCTAAAAACTGCACTTGTGAAGTGAGCAACACATCTGATCTCCCTTAAAACTGCACTTGTACACTGAACAACACATCTGATCTCCCTAAAAACTGCACTTGTGAAGTGAACAACACATCTGATCTCCCTAAAAACTGCACTTGTAAACTGAGCGACACATCTGATTTCCCTAAAAACTGCACTTGTAAACTGAGCGACACATCTGATCTCCCTAAAAATTTCACTTGTAAACTGAGCGACACATCTGATCTCCCTAAAAATTTCACTTGTGAAATGAAAGACACATCTGATCTCCCTAAAAATTGCACTTGTGAACTGAGCGACACATCTGATCTCCCTAAAAATTTCACTTGTGAAATGAAAGACACATCTGATCTCCCTAAAAATTTCACTTGTAAACTGAGCGACACATCTGATCTCCCTAAAAATTTCACTTGTGAAATGAAAGACACATCTGATCTCCCTAAAAATTGCACTTGTGAAGTGAATGACACATCTGATCTCCCTAAAAACTGCACTCGTGAGCTGAACAACACATCTTATCTCCCTAAAAACTGCACTTGTAAACTGAGCGACACATCTGATCTCCCTAAAAATTGCACTTGTAAACTGAAAGACACATCTGATCTCCCTAAAAACTGCACTTGTGAACTGAATGACACATCTGCTGTCCCTAAAAATTGCACTTGTAAACTGAGCGACACATCTGATCTCCCTAAATATTGCACTTGTAAACTGAATGACACATCTGATCTCCCTAAAAACTGCACTTGTGAAGTGAATGACACATCAGTGTAACAAAACAATGACCTTCAAAGCAGAATGCGAATGCCATGACCATTTTCCCATGGAGGCCCCCATACAGCAGAGGAAATGACTAGGCAGCAATGAAAAGATAATAATGGTTTCATTCAGTAGGAAACTCTGGCAACCAAATCAAACTGTCAAGTGATTTAATATATTTTTTTTTTAAAAATCTATCACCCTGGAAAGCCACAAACCCAAACTTCTGACTGGGACCAACTCCTAGTAAATGTCACTTTGCTGACTTGTCTATTGTGACCTGTTTACAGGACATATCGTTAATGCTAATGGCTGTGTTCACACCTGCACAAACATTTAAAAGATCAGAATGTGAATAATTTAATTAAAAATTTTAACAGGGGGGGGGGGGGATCTAAACGAAATGGTTGTTTTTTAAAGTCAAGATTAATCAAATTTTCCCGTAAGCCTCAGTGATAGAGGTCACAGGATCATGGCACGAGTTACCCAATACATTTTTGTTTCATTCCCTGGGGAATGCATTCCACTGAATGTTTTATTCTGTTTAAATTGAATAATTAAACTGTCAAACAAAATAAAAATTAAAAATAAGTTTATGTTTACTAATTACTCCTTTTATGATCTGAATTTTTTTAAACATTTATAAATGAACTGCGTTTAAATGTATTAGTGACCTGTATGAAAGAAACAGTAATTTTTAAAGGATTTTTATTTCAAGAATTTCCATGGATTCATGACCTACTGTGCTTTTTTTTTTAAAGAGTTATAGGGGTCAAAGGGTTAAAGATCAATTATAAAAGGTTGGTTGAGGGCCTTTACTTCTTGGGAGAAGAAAAGCAGAAGTAGAAGAGGTTATTCTATGCCAGGTTTTTCTCTTATGATTCCCAATTCTTTTTCTCCTTGTCCCTTCCACAACCCTCATTTAACATCTCATTTGCATCAGGCAACATGGATGCTGATAAACTGAAATACCAATCTTTCTTGAACATACTTCCACGCTGACACAATTATATTTTACTAACTCACTTCAATTAATCAGTATGATAGAATCACCCTATTGACAGTGGTGCTCACCTACAAGCTACACACGATAAAGGGACTACATTTATGAACATCATCATCATGTAGCAGGTCCTTTGCAGAACGTCGCTCTCATCACAGTCTGCCTGAAAGAAACTCGGTCTCTCGCCAGTTCTCCCACCTCATGTACTTTCATACTCAAGGAGTCACTTACATCCTGTGCCCATCTTCGTGTCGGACATCACTCACAGTTAATAAGTACAAGGCTATTCTCATGCCAGCTGTGTACTGGGCAAGTGGCAGGAGATCCCATTTCTATTAACAGATCAACAACACTTGATGCATGATGTTGTCACATAATGCCAGGCACCTTTTCTTTCCAGCAGATTGTCTGGTACTAATTTTAGTCTGGGTTGATCTGGGAAAACCATTCACAGTGTGGAACACTAAAATGTTTGAAGTACTAGGGAACAGCTAAACTAGTTATAAATCAGCTTGCAAAGCTTTACTTATTACTGACAGAGTTAACTTCAGTTAACTTCAACACACATTAAAAATGTTGTGTTCATGTTACTATGTAAATCCCTGGCAAATTTCTTTTTTTTTGGGTGGGGGGGGACCTGAAGGATAAAGGTGTACACGGACATCTATAAGAGCATGCCTCAAGTATTAAACTGACAAACCCTGCGAGTCAGACAGTTAATCAGAAGGAGATCTGAGTGCAGTTATGAACAGTGTATCCAACTCAAGTTAGAGTGCAGATATGAACAGTGTATCCAACTCCAGTCTGAGTGCAGTTATGAACAGTGTATCCAACTCCAGTCTGAGTGCATTAAGAACAGTGTATCCAACTCCAGTCAGAGTGCAGTTAAGAACAGTGCATCCAACTTCAGTCTGAGTGCAGTTATGAACAGTGCATCCAACTCAAGTCTGAGTGCATTAAGAACAGTGCGTCCAACTTCAGTCTGAGTGCAGTTATGAACAGTGCATCCAACTTCAGTCTGAGTGCAGTTGTGAACAGTGTATCTAACTCAAGTCTGAGTGCAGTTGTGAACAGTGTATCTAACTCAAGTCTGAGTGCATTAAGAACAGTGTATCTAACTCAAGTCTGAGTGCATTAAGAACAGTGCATCCAACTTCAGTCTGAGTGCAGTTATGAACAGTGCATCCAACTTCAGTCTGAGTGCAGTTGTGAACAGTGTATCTAACTCCAGTCTGAGTGCAGTTATGAACAGTGTATCCAACATCAGTCTGAGAGCAGTTATGAACAGTGTATCCAACTCAAGTCTGAGTGCATTAAGAACAGTGTATTCAACTCCAGTCACAGTGCAGTTAAGAACAGTGCATCCAACTTCAGTCTGAGCGCAGTTATGAACAGAGTATGCAACTCTCGTCTGTGTTCAGTTATGAACAGTGTATCCAACTCCAGTCTGGGTGCAGTTATATGACCAATGTCTAGTGGTGTGGTCATTCATTTGTCTGTTTTGATTTCATATCTGCTCAGTCTAGAATTCTCTGTTATGAGTTCAGAACCGACAGCACAGCACTCAGGACACTCCCATAAGTGCTTCGTCCCCAGCAGCAAGTGCTGCTCTAATTCTGATGGTACCAGTAACAGTCTGATTGTATGTCCAACTCACTGCTCCCCTGAGTGTTCAGTGTTGGCTAGATCCCCTGGTCACTATACACTGCACCATTCTCTTCAGACAGTGATGATCTATTTGTGCCTTCACACTGTTTGCTTATTTTCAAAGGGTCCTTATGAAATCTAGCTTGTCATGCATAAATTTACCAACAAGTGGTGCAGAACCAGCCAGTCTATCTGTCTGTTAATTTCCCTGCACACCCGCAGTCTCTAAAGAAAATATCCAAAAGACGCTAACTAAATGGGACTGTCATCAACTACTTCCTATTAAGCATTCATCAGGGTTTATAACAATATGCCAACAACAAACACTGAAATAGCTAACTGGTGTAATAAAAGACAGCTACTGTCACATTAAATATGTATCCAGTTAATGAAATTGTAATTGTGTAACATTATATTTAATAAATAAAATTCTGCCCATATTTGTATCTGTTTCTGTCTAAACTATCAAAAATATTTTCAATTGTTCCCAGTACACAAGTGTAAACTGGCTGAAGAACACTGGTATAAGACATGTGACGAATGAGCAATATTGTAACAGAGATAATATAAATAGTGTACTGGATTCAAGAGACAGGATATGAGCAACAGCTGAGCAGAGATGATATAAGGATAAAACTGGAAATTACTGTGAGAAAAGATAAATTAAAAAAGGAAAAAGAGGGATTACAAGAAATAAAACAGGGGATACAATACAAGTGGAGGAACCCCATTAAAATGGTAACACATATTTGTGAACATGTTAGTGATAACAGAAAAGTGGAGCTAGCAGCCACAACAGTAAAACTGTTCAATACAGTGACACATATGACAGAAACTGACAGAAATAAAACAGATATCAAGGAAGACACTGGCATATACATGAAGCAGACTGAAGACACACAAAACCAGAAACTAACAGACATAAAACAGAAATCAGAGAGGCAGATATATGAAGCACACTGAAGACACACATGAGAGACAAGGAACTGACCAACAACAGGGCTGTGATTCTGTCCTGCAGGATGTGCTGACTTCCCCCTGCCTCTCAGCTCCTTGAGCAAACCCTGGGGACAGTTTTCATGCTGATATTCACTAATGGCTAGTTCCCACATGAACACAAATGTAAAGATGGTTAGATTTCACAATTACAGAAACACTGGAGCTTCCAAGGAGTTCAGACATCAAACAGTTCAAACATTAAAGGCATTCAAACATCCAAGAATTCAAATATCCAAGGAGTTCAAGCACCCAAGAGTTCAAACATCCAAGGAGTTCAAACATCCAAGGAGTACAAACATCAAAGAAGTTCAAACATACAAGGCGTTCAAACTTCTAAGAAATTTAAACATCCCAGCAGTTCAAATATCCAAGCAGTTTAAACATCCAAGATTTGTGTAGGCTGGATAAATGTAGGCAAGAAGAGGAGTGGGTCAAAGTATCCAAGCAAGACTCAGACTTGTGTAAGGTTCTCATCACTTTAGGTTGTGAGTGCAGGGACTGGCCAGCTGGTGCTGCAGAATCAGAAGTTCAACAAATGATTCATGACAATTCCCGCCCAAGTGATGTGATCATCCATACAGATGGTTCTGTGTTAAGAGTTAGAAGAAGTGCATGGGGGTTCATAGCAAAAGCAAATAAACAACGCTTAGTGCAACAAAACCTGGCATATGAAATCACTTGGTCTAGTTTGAAAATGGAAATGGGGAAAGTCACTGCTGCCTTCCACTGGCTTGAGAATCAGCTGTACAGACTTGTCGTAATTGTAACTGACCCACAAAGTACGCTGAGAAAGGTGGAGACAGAAATGCTCCCTGCATCACTTCAGCAGTCCCGGGTAGTAAGCGTCCTTTGGAGATTTTTTTCTCCAGGTCAGGCTGGTGTGTTCGTAAATGAGCAGGTGGATAGACTGGTCTGTTCTGCACCAATTGGTGGTGAATTATTCTATGACAAGCTGGATGTTGTGAGGGCCTTTGGGAGCAAGTGAACAGTGAGGAGGCACAGATCACTACAGTCTGAAGAAAGTGGCGCTGCGGGCAGTTACCAGTGGATCTGGCCAACACTCAAGGGAAAGGTGAGAGTTACTGGTACCATCAGAACTCAAACTCTTCACGTGCTGCTGAAGATGGGGATGGAGCGTTTATAGGAGTGTATTGAGTGCTATGATGTTGATTCTTAATTCAACATTCATTCAAACATCTAAGGAATTCAAACATCCAAGAAGTTAAAACAGGCACGGTGTTTGAGCATCCACGGAGTTCAAACATCCAAGGAGTTTAAACATCCAAGGAGTTCAAACATCCAAAGAGGTCAAACATCCAAACATGTGTGAGAAATCAAACACAAAATACAATTTGTGTGGTTGAACAGCATATATACATGGTTGTTAATTCCAACACAAATACAGCAACTGATGCTGGTATGGCCGAGGTGAATATTCTTTAATGATAATTATAGAAGTGTCAAGAAAGGAACTGTTTTCAAAGTAACACACATAAAAACCACACCAATGAACAAATCTTGACCGTGTGTGGGTTCCAGAAAAAAGAACAGACCTAATGAACCCCTTAACAAGCATGTCATAAAAGGTAAAGAATTAGGTAGGGTGTTTTCTTTGAAATCGGAGTGCTTCTGCCTGAGAGGCAAGGAACCAACAGTCTGCATACAAAAAAGTCAGGTCTGTAAAACAGATGTGCATGCCAAACTCAAGTTCTGGAAAAATACTCAAGTCCAGAAGCGGATGAACAACCAGAACTTTCCGCCAGAGATGATAGCTGAAAATGCTCAGCAGAAAAAGAAGATATTTTACAGTGTGGGAGCTGTGCATGAGAATGTGAGTATAAAGGAGAGAGAAAGAAGCTACTTACCTGCAATGGTTTCTCATAAGGATATTTGCCGCTGAAATCAAAGAAAAGTTTGGCTCCTAAGATAGCACCCAGCCATCCGTCAGGCCTGTACCGTGGCTGCACCATGAGTGGGATATAGTCTTTTCTCAGATGGAATGTGTATTCGGCCTCTGTTAATCAAATAATACAATTTGTTATCATTTAGTCAAACCTAGACAGTCTGAAGACAAAAGCAAAAGAACTTTGGAGTTCACTCACTGAGACTGAATAACTGTCATCTTAACAATTTTTGCCCTGCAATTGCTTAATTTAAAAAAAAAACACATGGGTCATGAACACGAGCAAATGTCTTTTAAAAAACCCTTTAATGTCAACTATTTCACACCAGTATTTAATAAACTGCAGACTATTTCACACAGGTATTTAATAAACTGCAGACTTTTCACACCGGTATTTAATAAACTGCAGACTATTTCACTTCTTCTTCTTTCTTTTTCCTTCCACGTATGCCGCTAAGCGTTGTGGGGAGATGCAAGTTCCTGTCATAAGCAAGGCGGGCAGCATCTGATGTTCTGAGGCCACGCTTTTGGCAGGTTTCGGAGACCCCGTCAATCCACCGTTTCCTTGGTCTTCCTCTTGCCTTATATCCTGAGCTTCTTTGGTTGAAAATTTGTGATGTTATTTGGTCATTTTTCATCCTGGTTAGATGTCCAAACCATTTCATTCTTTGATGTTCTATGTAGTCTAAACATGGTGTAGTTTTGACAGTGTTTCTAATGTCTATGTTCTTTATCCTGTCTAGTCTGGTCTTATTCGCTGCTTTTCTTAGACATTTCATTTCACAGGCTTCTATTTTTCTTTCATGGGTCTTGTTGATTGTCCATGTCTGGCACTGGTAGCAGAGTGTTGGAATGAAGATGGTGTTTATCAATTGTCTTTTGGTCTTCATGGTTATATCTGGATGTTTAAGCAGAGGTGATAGTTGGTATGTGACAGCATTTGCTTTCTGTATTCTTGTTTCTATCTCTCTGTCCATTCTTTCATCCTCTGTAAATATACTGCCCAAGTATTTGAACTCTTTGGTTTGCTTGATTTTGGCACTTCCAACATTTATATTCAGTGGCCGGTGTGTTCTGCTGATCTTCATAACTTCTGTTTTTTCTGTACTGATTCTCATATTATGTTGTAAACAGCTGTTGTTGAGAGTAGTCAGATGTTCCTGTAGATCATATTCATTTTGATACAGTATGCTTTGATCATCAGCAAAAAGTAATTCGTTTATAGCATACACGTCTGGGTTTGCTTCTACAGTGATCTTATCCATGTATGTTATGAAAAGTAATGGTGACAGTACACATCCTTGTCTGACACCAGTTGTGACTTTGAACCATTCAGAAAGACCACTAGATGTTCTTACTGCACTTTCACTTTTTTCATAGAGGGCTCTGATGTTGTCTAATAATTGACCCTGCACTCCGTAATCGTCAAGAATTCTCCACAGCACATCTCTGTCCACACGGTCGAATGCCTTCTCTTGATCTACAAAGACCACGTTCAGCTCTTTATTGTATTCGAGTGTCTTTTCACAGACTTGTCTTAGTGCAAATATGGCATCAGTGCAACCTCGCCCTTTCCTGAAACCGAATTGTGCTTTACTCAGTAGAGGTTCAACCTTTGCTCTTATCCTACCTTCTAAGATCTTTGCATACATTTTCCCCACATGACTTAGTAAAGATATTCCTCTATAAGTTCCACATTCTCTCTTGTTTCCTTTTTTCTTCCAGATAGGTACTACAACTGATCTTTGCCAATCCACTGGTACCTTTCTCTCTGCCCATGCTCTATTGAAAATTCTCTCCAGCCAGGTGATCATAGTGTCCCCTCCAGCCTGAATGACTTCTGTTGTTATTCCGTCGATACCAGCTGCTTTGTGTCTTTTACTTGTTTTGATAACTTTCTCTACTTCATCCCGCAGGATATGTGGTTCTAGATGATCTGGAGCCCTTGAATGGAATTCTGCTGTTTCATGTACTCCCGACGGGTTCAAAAGTTCTTTAAAATATTCCTCCCATCTTTTTTTAATTTCTTTTTGGCTGAATAATGGTTTTCCATTTTTATCATTTATGACTGATGTTGGATTGAAGCTTTCTTCTCTTAATCGCATCGCTTTTACACTCTTATAAAAGTCTCTTGATGATTCTGTACATAGCTGTGTTAGGTGTTCACCATACTTTTTCCATGAATCCTCTTTGGATTTCTTTATTGTTCTCTTGGTGTCTCTTCGAGTTAGTCTGTACCTAATGTAATCATTTTCGTCTTTTGTTTTTAACCATATTTGAAACATCTTCTTTTTATTTGACACTGCTTCTTTGACTTCTTCATTCCACAAAGCGGTACCCTTTTTCTTGCCTTTGCCCGTCTTTCTGGTACCACACTTGTCTTTTAATATCTTCGTGATGGTTGATTTATAATAATCCCATTCTTCTTCAATTCTTACTGGTTCCTTGGCAATATCTGCAAAAGCCTTTGTTATTTCTGGTTCAAATTCATGTTTGATATTCTCTTCCTCTAATTTCTTAGTGTTGATGATTTCTTCACGTTTCTGTTTATGTAGACTGTTTCTACTTGAGTTGCATATGTTCATAACTACTGGGCGATGGTCTGAATCCAGTCCCGCATTTGGGACAGCTTTTGAGTCTCTTACCTTCCTCTTCTGCCGTTGGCAGACTATTTCACACCGGTATTTAATAAACTGCAGACTATTTCACACCGGTATTTAATAAACTGCAGACTATTTCACACCGGTATTTAATAAACTGCAGACTATTTCACACCGGTATTTAATAAACACCAGACTATTTCACACCGGTATTTAATAAACTGCAGACTATTTCACACCGGTATTTAATAAACACCAGACTATTTCACACCGGTATTTAATAAACTGCAGACTATTTCACACCGGTATTTAATAAACTGCAGACTATTTCACACCGGTATTTAATAAACTGCAGACTATTTCACACCGGTATTTAATAAACTGCAGACTATTTCACACCGGTATTTAATAAACTGCAGACTATTTCACACCGGTATTTAATAAACACCAGACTATTTAACACAGGTATTTAATAAACTGCAGACTATTTCACAGAGGTATTTAATAAACTGCAGACTATTTCACACAGGTACTTAATAAACTGCAGACTATTTCACACAGGTATTTAATAAACACCAGACTATTTCACACAGGTATTTAATAAACACCAGACTATTTCACACAGGTATTTAATAAACTGCAGACTATTTCACACAGGTATTTAATAAACACAAGACTATTTCACACAGGTATTTAATAAACTGCAGACTATTTCACACAGGTATTTAATCAACGCTAGACTATTTTACACAGGTATTTAATAAACAGCAGACTATTTCACACAGGTATTTAATAAATGGCAGACTTTTTCACACAGGTATTTAATAAATGGCAGACTATTTCACATAGGTATTTAATAAACGGCAAACAGACCATTTGACATCAACAGTACAGATTTATGCCCAAACAGCAGATAGTTCAGAAGAAGATATTGACGCATCTTATGACAAGTTAGACATGGCTGTTGATCAATGCAAAAAATTGTGAAGTAACAATGGTACTTGGAGATTTCAATGCGGAAATCGAAAGTAAAAAAGTGTACGGAATAACGGGTGGCTATGGCCTAGGAGAAAAGAATGTGAGAGGTGACAAATTAATAGCATGGGCTGAGTCGCACAGTATGATAAAAGGTAACACCTGGTTTAAACATCATCCTCGAAGATTGTGGACTTGGAAAAGTCCTGGTGATAATGTCCACAATCAGGCTGATTATATTTTGATTTCAAGAAGATTCCGGAGCAGCTTAGTTGGAGGAAAGATTAGACCAGGAGCAGACTGCGTTAGTGACCATGTTCCAGTAATAGGAAAGGTTAGAATAAAACTAAAGAATATTAAGAAAACACCACAGAACATTAAGTTAAATTTCGGAATACTTAGAACTTATAATGAAATAAAGGAACAGTACAATGTCACAATACAAAACCGGTATAATGCAATTGAAATTATACAGACTATTGATAAACAGTCGGATATTTTGCGTGAGTCAATTCAGCAGATATCAAAAGAGACAATCCCACCAACCCATGGAGTTGCAAAAAGGAAATGGACGTCAACCAAAATTCTGCAGTTGATTTGATTTCATTTAATTCAAGAACTAACATCACAGCACTCCTTATAGACTATACAAGACTGTGTTAGGCGTGAAGAAGTAATCAAACTGTTATTAAAATTAAACACTGATGGAAAAGATCTACGAATAATAAAGAATATGTACTGGCAGCAAATAGCAGCTTAAAGAATTAACAACTGTTTAGGTACATTTCAGAGCATAAAGAGGGGTGTACGACAAGGATGTGTACTGTCACCTGATTTGTTTTAAATATACAGTGAATATATAATGAGATCTTTAATTGGCATGCCCTGAATTGTGGTTGGTGGGCGCAATATAAATAATTTACGTTATGCTGATGACACAGTCTTGGTAGCAACAAGTCAGAAAGAACTACAGGAAATGTGGTGTTAGAAAGTGGAAGAATGGGCCTCAGTTTGAATAATGGGTAGACAGAAGTAATGGTGGTATCAAAGAAAAGAATTATTCCTAAATGTGTAATAAAAGTCAACGGTGTTATTTTGGGACAAGTACAGAAATGTAAGTATCTGGGCACATGGATAACATCAGATGGAAGATGCAAAACTGAGATATGAAACAGAATAGGTTAGGCAAAAACTGCATTTTGTAAAAGGAAGAACATCTTATGCAATATATCTTTGTCACTGAGGGTTAGAAAAAGAATTCTTGATTGCTACATACATCCAGTTTTAACATATGGCTGTTGAGTCCTGGAAAATTGGTAGGCAGGCCAAACAATTTCTTGAGGCCTCATACATGTGCTTTTACAGAAAAATGCTTAAAATACCTTGGACAGCCAAAAAGAGCAACCAAAAGATTTTGAAAGAGGCGGGAGCCTGAAGACAACTTATCACAGACATCAGAAGGAGACAGTCATAAATTTTCGGCCATGTTGTGAGAAGGGGGAAAATGGAACATGTTGTGATCATTAGAAAGATTTGTGGAAGGAGGGATAGAGGAAGACAACAAGAGAAGATTCTTGACAGTCTTGGTGCATGGCATGGAGGTGTGTCAGCACAGGGAACTGATACATGCTGTAGGAGATCACAGGTTGTGGAGAGGCATGATCGCCCACGCAAGTTGGCAAGACATGTGATGACGATGATGGTTTAATCAACTGTTAAAACTTTATCAACACTTTTACTTTTTTCTCGAAATATATAAAGACATTTAAAATGACATCTAAAATTTATCAATAAACAAGAACAGAGTAGAACATTAAATTCCTCTGAGCCTAAAACAAATATGTTTGGGATGACTTATACCAAGAGCCTATGATCTCTCTATGTCTGCAGCCTGTGGGGAAAATTAGGTTAGCCTATCTCAATGAATCTCTAGACAAAAGTTAACCAAACTCTCTGTCAACATAGTTTCTGCTTGATCTATTCCAACTCAGATAACTGTAGCTTTATTTTAACTCTTTCAGTCTCAAACAAATATTTTTTAATGTTTCATATCTGAAGTGGTTGTTGCTGAAAACTAAAATATATGTTGTGTGATGATAATGATGCTGATGATGAAAATGATGATGATGATGCAGATGACAATGATGATGATGATGATGATGAGAGCATTCAGTGGTACTGAATGAGTTCAAGCCAAGGCTTTTTTTCTGGAGGGGTAATGGCACACAGTTCTTACACCATTTAGAATTAATTTATAGCTCATAAGAGTGGGCTTACACATATATATTATATACTTGAGTAGCACCAAGCCCACAACAGAGATTATGGGTTCAAAAGGGTGTAGTGAAAAGATCCACATGCAGACAACTTACCGGTCCGACAGTTAGGGCACTGTTTATATTTCTCTGACATACAAATGAGTACTACTGCTGCATTCTCGATTGCTTCTGCAGTGGCTTGTAAGGAGGCTCCTCCCATCTGTTCCCAGTCCACCCAGAGCTTGTACCCTTCAGCCTAAGGGAAACAACATCAATTTACACATGAGCAGGCTCCGTAACTACACAGACAATCAGCTTGCAACATAATATACTTCCTGTTGTGACATTCAGCATACAAGAAATATGGAAGTAATGTGTATGTTATTTATGCCTGTGAATCTTGGACAATTAATAAACAAATCAAACAATTTCTTGAGGTTACCATATTATGGACAGACCAGAGCAAGTCATTATCCTTCACCTTAGAACAGGCCACAATCGACTATGCTGCCACATGTACAACAAATTTAAGATTGGCCAATCAGCCATGTGTACCTGTGGACTGGCACCTGAGACAACAAATCATATCCTCCAAGACTGACCCAGAGCCAATGCTTCCAGGCAAAACTTCTGGCCAAAAGAGACACTTGTGGAAGTCAAACTTTACGGGCCGCTTAGTAAATTACAAAAGACAGTGAAATTCATACTAGAGACAGCTTTGCAAATATAGATAATTTATTTCATGCGAACGAAAGAAGAAAAAAAAATGTCTTGAGGCCTCAGAGATGTGGTTTTAGAGAAGAAGCTTTAGAATTCCTTGGATGGCAAAAAAGAACAACCCAAAGGTTTTGAAAGAAGCGAGGACTTATCACAAACATCAGAAAGAGACAGTCATCATTTTCTTGTCATGTTATGAGAAGATGGAAACTGGAACATGCTTCGACATCTGTAATGATCTGTGCAAAAAGAGACTAGAAGAAAACAGAAGATTCTTGGCAGCCTTTTGTCATGGCATGCAAGGAGTTAGCACATGAAATGACTCATGCTATTGAAGATCCCAGAATGTGGAGAGTCATGATCACCAATGCCATCGGCAAAGGCGCTTGATGATGATGTGTCCTTTACAGGATATCGCAAACAAACCGCTGTTGTGTGGTTTTACTGGGCAATTTTTATGTTCAGTAGTCAGCCTCTGTTTTCTGTACTGCACACCACTCAAACTACTGTCTAAATCTATGTGAAGCGATCTGTTATCAAATCAAATGCTCCTGACTTGGAACTACTGTATTTTGTGATTGTGAAACTGTGTTCACAGTCCTGAAACCATTGGAGGGAGGGGGAAGAGGGGTGGTTACTCATAAAACACTAAAACAATCTTTGGTTACTGAAAATGTTTGTGATGGTGAAGATGGTGTTGGTAGGGCTGAAGAGCGAAGGCGCTTGCTCTAGAATCCTCATCATTATATTTCATGATAGGCTGCAGGAGCAGTCAAGGTTGGTTATCTTACATGATCACCAGAGTCTTGGATCAGGTTTGTGTGATTCACCTAATGTTTTCACCTCATCTCTTCAAGATGGGTGTTTGGAAGAGCTGAAGGTAAGACAGGCCTGTGGGCCCAATTTGTGACCCTGTGAAAATAAAATGTGTCCATTCATTCCCTCCTCTTCTACCTTGCAGTGTCTAAGGGAAGGATAAACTGTAAAAGAGTGCTTGTTTGTGTGCTTTATATATGGCATTTTTCACGGACTCTCTGTCCATAACTGACACATTTGGCCAATTGTTATAGTAGCAGAAGGCATGATGCCAGGAAAAGGGGCAGGGGTTGACCAGCATGAAGATGGGAACAGGATATAAGTGACACCTTGGGTGGGAAAGTGCAAGATGAGAGGGATTTGGAAAGCTGAGTTTCTTTCAAGCAGGCATTGATGAGAGGATGTTCTGTAAAGGACCTACTACATAATGATGATGATGGCAACTAGTTTGATTTATATTTGGTCTCTACATTATTGGTTATGAGGTATACTGTCTGTTAGCACTTGAGTTAGATGGCTGAACCAATTCACCTGTGGTTTTTTTATATATTTTTTTTATTTTTAATTTTTATTTTCAAGGAAGTTAGCACTGCCATTTCATGATTTCTAACTTTTTTCCCTGATGCTTTTCTCAAGCACCTCATCTCAGTTACTGTAACTATTTTGGTTACTGTCCGTGTCTATCACTGGTACCACAGAGTTGGTAAAAGACTATTACAGAGACTCCCTCAAAGATGTTCAAATAGTGATAACAATCACTCACTAATTCACCATGTTGAAGTTCTTGATGCTTAGATTCATACTGCATACTGAAAGAAGTAAGCATGGCAAACAAGTGTTAACTCTCTACTGGTGAAACTAGTGTTCCATCTAAACAATTCGATTGACTGATCTCTCTAAGGGCATTTACAACTTTGAGGCAATCCATAGGCAATCCATAGGCCATCCATCTGCAGCTAAGGCAGATCCAGCCAATCTATCAGCTCTTTAATTGTGAACAACACTCACATAGCATGGGACAAAGATGAAGATAGCTGCAATTCAAGAGGAGTGAAGAAATAAGAGAACTGTCTGGGCAACCAGTGGTAAGACAGAGAAGATGGCACTTTATTGGAAACATTCTGACTAGAGATGAATAGATAATCACCAAACAGGCACTGACATTGGAAGCAGCTGGTCTGAGGATATACAAAAGAAACCCTAAGGTGAATGCTGACAACAGAGGCCAAATGTGCTGGACTGGATTCCATCCATGATATCAGGGTGATTACACAGGATAGAACAGAATGGAGAAAAAGAGTGTCAGCCCTGTGTGACATATAATGGCACAAAATGATAAAATAGTGTCAGCCCTGTGTGACATATAACGGCACAACAGGATAAAATAGAGTGTCAGCCCTGTGTGTCATATAACGGCACAACATGATAAAATAGTGTCAGCCCTGTGTGTCATATAATGGCACAAAATGATAAAATAGTGTCAGCCCTGTGTGACATATAATGGTACAACAGGATAAAATAGTGTCAGCCCTGTGTGACATATAATGGCACAACAGGATAAAATATAGAGTGTCAGCCCTGCATGACATATAATGGTACAACAGGATAAAATAGTGTCAGCCCTGTGTGACATATAATGGCACAACAGGATAAAATAGAGTGTCAGCCCTGTGTGACATATAACGGCACAACAGGATAAAATAGAGTGTCAGCCCTGTGTGACATATAATGGCAAAACAGGATAAAATAGTGTCAGCCCTGTGTGACATATAATGGCACAACATGATAAAATAGTGTCAGCCCTGTGTGACATATAATGGTACAACAGGATAAAATAGAGTGTCAGCCCTGCATGACATACAACGGCATAACAGGACAATAAATTCCTAAGAAGATAACACCAATGACAAGAACAATGATACTTTATTGTCCTGACAAAAGGTTAACAAAAACATCAGACATAAACTTACTGTAAGACTGGCAGACAACTTTTTCACCAACTCCTTCTCAGTCCATGAGTAACTGATGAAGATGTGATTTTTGGACGAGTGTGCACTGGGTGAACCTGCAGACAGATCTTTAAACATCAGTTGAAAAAACATACTACATCTTTTTCTTCTTCTTCTTTAATTCACCAGCTGTAAGTTCTGGTTGTTCATCCACCTTTGTCCTCCTGTCCTGTTCGAGAACCTGAGTATTATGTGCATATCCCTTTTACAGGCTCATCTGTGTGCAGACTGTTGGTTCCTTGCCTCTCTGGTACTTGCACTTCGACTTTAAAGGAAGCTACCAATTAGTTGACTTTTAGGCCATGCTTCTGGGTAGGCAGTGGTCTACTTCACAAAGGGAACCCAGAAACCCACACAGGAAATATCTTGTTTCTAGGAATGTACAATTAAAGTCTATCTATGTGACTGACCTCTTGGTTTTGTTGAGACTAGTGTTGGCATTTGTGGTAATAATCTCCCAGTTCATATATAGAGACTTTACAGTTTGTTTCAAAGCCTGACTTATGTTTCAAATGCTGGCTTATGTTTCAAAGGCTGACTTATGTTGCAAATAATGACTTATGTTTCAAAGGCTGACTTATGTTTCAAATGCTGACTTATGTTTCAAAGGCTGACTTAAACACATGGGTTGGGTGTCACTGTATGGTTTCGGTTGATTTCTACTTTAGAAGTTACTGAGGGTCTCTGTGGCAAAGCTGTCAAGCCTTTAGCCTCATGTTTTGAACTACCTTGGTACAGAGACATCAACGGCAACCCTTGTGCAACAATCATGACATCTATGGCAACCCTCCTGCAACAATCTTTACCTCTATGGCAACCCTTCTGACATCTATGGCACACAATCTTGACATCTATGGCAACCCTTTCTGCACGAATCTTGACATCTATGGCAACCCTTCTGTAACAATCCTGACATATTTGGCAACCCTTCTGCAACAATTTTGACATCTATGGCAACCCTTCTGCAACAGTTTTGACATCTATGGCAACCCTTCTGCAACAATCTTGATATCTATGGCAAGCCTTCTGCAATAATCTTGACATCTATGGCAACCTTTCTGCAACAATACTGACATCTATAGCAACCTTTCTGCAAACAATCCTGACATCTATAAAACCCTTCTGTAAAAATCTTGACATCTATGGCAACCCTTCTGCAACAATCTTGACATCTACAGCAAGCCTTCTGCATCAATCTTGACATCTATGGCAACCCTTCTGTAACAACCTTGACATCTATGGCAAACAATCTTGACATCTGTGGCAACCCTTCTACAACAATTTTGACATCTATGGCAACCTTTCTGCAACAATCTTGACATCTATGGCAAGCCTTCTGCACTAATCTTGACATCTATGGCAAACAATACTGCATCTATGACAACCTTTCTGCACCAATCTTGACATCTATGGCAACCCTCCTACAATAATCTTGACATCTATGGCAATAATCATGACATCTGTGGCAGCACTTCTGCACCAATCTGATGTCTATGGCAACAATCTTGACATCTATAGCAAGCCTCCTGCAAAAATGTTGACATCAATGAGAACCCTTCTGCAACAGCAACAACTCTGAGTAACCATCATTGCCCATACCAGGGCTGCGACAGATAACCAAAAAGAAGGATCACACAAATCTCACATATGTACAGTATGTACAGTCACTTCCTGCTTTATACATTACAGTCACTTCCTGCTTTATACTGTACAGTCACTTCCTGCTTTATACAGTAAAGTCACTTCCTGCTTTATACATTACAGTCACTTCCTGCTTTATACTGTACAGTCACTTCCTGCTTTATACTGTACAGTCACTTCCTGCTTTATACTGTACAGTCACTTCCTGCTTTATACAGTACAGTCACTTCCTGCTTTATACAGTACAGTCACTTCCTGCTTTATACAGTACAGTCACTTCCTGCTTTATACAGTACAGTCACTTCCTGCTTTATACATTACATTCACTTCCTGCTTTATACTGTACAGTCACTTCCTGCTTTATACTGTACAGTCACTTCCTGCTTTATACTGTACAGTCACTTCCTGCTTTATACAGTACAGTCACTTCCTGCTTAATACATTACAGTCACTTCCTGCTTTATACAGTACAGTCACTTCCTGCTTTATACATTACAGTCACTTTCTGCTTTATACAGTACAGTCACTTCCTGCTTTATACAGTACAGTCACTTCCTGCTTTATACTGTACAGTCACTTCCTGCTTTATACTGTACAGTCACTTCCTGCTTTATACAGTACAGTCACTTCCTGCTTTATACAGTAAAGTCACTTCCTGCTTTATACATTACAGTCACTTCCTGCTTTATACTGTACAGTCACTTCCTGCTTTATACTGTACAGTCACTTCCTGCTTTATACAGTAAAGTCACTTCCTGCTTTATACATTACAGTCACTTCCTGCTTTATACTGTACAGTCACTTCCTGCTTTATACTGTACAGTCACTTCCTGCTTTATACAGTACAGTCACTTCCTGCTTTATACTGTACAGTCACTTCCTGCTTTATACTGTACAGTCACTTCCTGCTTTATACAGTACAGTCACTTCCTGCTTTATACTGTACAGTCACTTCCTGCTTTATACAGTACAGTCACTTCCTGCTTTATACAGTACAGTCACTTCCTGCTTTATACATTACAGTCACTTCCTGCTTTATACAGTACAGTCACTTCCTGCTTTATACAGTAAAGTCACTTCCTGCTTTATACATTACAGTCACTTCCTGCTTTATACAGTACAGTCACTTCCTGCTTTATACTGTACAGTCACTTCCTGCTTTATACAGTACAGTCACTTCCTGCTTTATACAGTACAGTCACTTCCTGCTTTATACAGTACAGTCACTTCCTGCTTTATACAGTACAGTCACTTCCTGCTTTATACAGTACAGTCACTTCCTGCTGTATATAGTACAGTCACTTCCTGCTTTATACAGTACAGTCACTTCCTGCTTTATACTGTACAGTCACTTCCTGCTTTATACAGTACAGTCACTTCCTGCTTTATACAGTACAGTCACTTCCTGCTTTATACAGTACAGTCACTTCCTGCTTTATACAGTACAGTCACTTCCTGCTTTATACAGTACAGTCACTTCCTGCTTTATACAGTACAGTCACTTCCTGCTTTATACAGTACAGTCACTTCCTGCTTTATACAGTACAGTCACTTCCTGCTTTATACAGTACAGTCACTTCCTGCTTTATACAGTACAGTCACTTCCTGCTTTATACAGTACAGTCACTTCCTGCTTTATACTGTACAGTCACTTCCTGCTTTATACTGTACAGTCACTTCCTGCTTTATACTGTACAGTCACTTCCTGCTTTATACAGTACAGTCACTTCCTGCTTTATACAGTACAGTCACTTCCTGCTTTATACTGTACAGTCACTTCCTGCTTTATACAGTACAGTCACTTCCTGCTTTATACTGTACAGTCACTTCCTGCTTTATACTGTACAGTCACTTCCTGCTTTATACAGTACAGTCACTTCCTGCTTTATACAGTACAGTCACTTCCTGCTTTATACTGTACAGTCACTTCCTGCTTTATACAGTACAGTCACTTCCTGCTTTATACTGTACAGTCACTTCCTGCTTTATACAGTACAGTCACTTCCTGCTTTATACAGTACAGTCACTTCCTGCTTTATACTGTACAGTCACTTCCTGCTTTATACTGTACAGTCACTTCCTGCTTTATACTGTACAGTCACTTCCTGCTTTACACTGTACAGTCACTTCCTGCTTTATACAGTACAGTCACTTCCTGCTTTATACAGTACAGTCACTTCCTGCTTTATACAGTTGGGTGTAAAAGTAAGAGCTGGACAGTTTTAAAGATGTTTGTCTGTGGATACTCATAATTTTTTTTTAGGCGATGACAGATAATGGAAACTGACGGTTAATGGAAGTTTTACCATATGTGTGTTGAATACTGAGAATGAGGCATTAAATAGCTTCAGGGCCTGACATTACTCACGTGTACTAGTTGCTGAAGCTTCATGTTCTCCCCGCAACAACCACTGAGCACCCCGAACATTCTTCTGTACAACTGGGTTCTCACTGTCCTTCAAGCTGTCAAGGGCAGCTAGCAGTTCTGGGAAGTCATTGATCATCTGCCTGACATTCTTGTCAAAGGAAAGTGTCCACAAACATTCTGCACTGTTCGCTTGCTCCTTGGGGTCAGTGTGCAGCAGCATCTGGCAAAAATCTGCAAGGGCACCTTCCTCAACTATCTGCCAGATGGAGACAAGCAGTGGAGTTATGTCTCATCAAACCTGAATCTGTGGCATTTATCCTTCTATATCAGGGCTATTCTGCTTCTTCTTCTTCGTGTTTACCAGCTGTAAACTCTGGCATAAATTTCTGGTTATTCATCCATTTCTGGACTGCAGTCGTGTTCCAGAACCTGAGTGTTACGTGTGCATCCGTTTTACAGGTCTGACTCATCTGTATGCAGACTGCTGGTTCCTTGCCTCTCAGGCAGATGCAATCTGACTTCGAAGGAAGCTCCCAATTAGTTGACTCTTACGACATGCTTTTGGGTAGGCAGTGGGTCTATTCTTGTTTTCCCCACATTAAAGCCTCAGAACCCACACAGGTCATCAGGGCTATTCAAGTGGTGGCCAGTGAGTCAAATTCAGCCTGCAGAGACCTAGCAAGTAGGTGTGTTGTATTAGTGATTGTTTTAATGCTGAGGCTCAGGCCTGTGTCCTGTGACAATGCCCAGTTTGAACATTCTGGCCACTGAGTAAACTTGGAAAGCCCTGTTCCACATCATGTAACTATATGTATGCCCAACCCTACAGTATGCTGCAGAAGCCTCACCATTTCCTCCTCTTCTTCCACTTTGTTTGTCGTCTAGAGTGCAGGTGGCACATTGTATTTCAGTGTATAACAAGGCTATGATATCTGCACATTTAAGCCCAACACATCCAATTTCAGCAAACTGTTGTGGTCTTTGATAACATGCTTGTTAAGGAACAGTGGGTCCATCAAAATGGGACCAGGAACCCATGAGGAAATAAAAACATTGACAAAAAGAGGTTCTGGAGAAAATAGGAATAAAAATACATTTCTTGAAATAAATTTGAAAAAAAAAAAAACAGAAGTGAAGTATTTTGATCACATTTAATGACATTCAAGATACATTTGTTATGGGCAATAAAAAAATGCAAAGCTTGGTTGGCACTGCCACTATATGAGAGGGTCAACCAATGGATCTAGCCAACATCAAAAACATCCTCGATATTCTTTACTAAGATACACAAAAACTCCTGAACATGTAAACACTGGTGGCCAGGGATTACCTTTGCTTTGTTTGAGTCATTCACTGCTAACTTGGCAAGTCCTTGTGTGAGTTCTGCAGGAGTAAAACCACGAAACCTTCTCTTCTGCTTGTTTTCCAAAGCTTTGTGAATCCAGTGTACAATATTCTTAATTGTGTCTGAAATTATATGCAACACAACTGTTAGCAAAACAAGACTCTCTCTCAATTAGTTACTGTGTTCAGTGTCATGCTTACCTGCAAAACACTACAAGGCTCACTATAGTAGTACTCAGTGAAACCATTATAGATGCCCTAATTATCTTCTTTTTCTTCATCTTCTTCGCGTTCACTGGCTGTAAACTCTGGTGGAAAGTTCTGGTTGTTCATGCACCTCTGGACTTTAGACTTGTTCCAGAACCTGAGTGTTGTGTTCACATATATTTTACAGATCTGACTTATCTGTATGCAGGCTGTTGGTTCCTTGCCTCTCATGCTGATGAACTCTGACTTCTAAGGAAACCCCCAGTTAGTCGACTCCTATGACACTATTGTTGGAGAGGTAGTGGGTCTATTCTTTTTTTCCTCACAATGGGGCCCTGGATCCTACACAGGGAGCCCTAATTATAACTTCTCTGGAGTCTGAAAAGAATACCTGGATTCTCCCCTGTTGATCTGCCACCCAGGATTCAACTTCTGCAGTGGTGGTCTAACCTTCAGGTATCAGCCCAGAGGGGATAAACATACATTAGTTACCTTCATCTGACATTGTTTAATCAATCAATCACATGTTATCTTGGTAAAGAGTGGTGAACATGAATCACTAACAATGCTTCTCCCTAAGGTTTTACACAATGACAGGTTCTATGTTTTGTATTTGACAACCTGTACCATTGCCTGCCTATCACTCAGCTGTCTTTGACAACTCCCCCCCCCCCCCCCCCCTGGTATTTTTGCAGTCTGTCATGATGTATTCCAGTTTTCTTCTTCTCATGATGTTCATAAATAACGTAAATTGTCCCCCCTTGCAGTCCAGGTGGCACATTGTATTTCAGTTTATAACAAGGCTATGATATCTGCACATTTAAGCCCAACACATCCAATTTCAGCAAACTGTTGTGGTCTTTTACGACATGCTTTTGTGAGTGAATATCTTTCAAGACATCTTCACTAATAAATTACTATACATTTAACCGATTCCTAATCATTTGGAAGTCATCACTAAACAATTCACTTGGCTTATTGATAAGTTATGCATCATCACTAAACAATTCACTTGTCTTATTGATAGGTTATAGTTTATCACTAAACAATTCACTTTGCTTATCATAAGTTTTACATCATTACTAAACAACTTACTAATGTCATCAATAAATAACTGACTTGTTTCACCATTAAGCTTAACACCATCACTAAACAACTGATTTATTTCATAAATAAGTGTCACACGATCACTAAACAATTTAATTGTTTCATGAATAAATTTAATATCAACACTAAATAAATAACTTTTTCTTCAACAAGTTTAACATCATTGCTGAATAAATGACTTTTCTTCAAAAAGTTTAACTCCACCACTAAACAAGTGACTTGTTTCATCAACAAGTTTAACATCATGCGTAAACAAATGACTTGTTTCATCAACAAGTTTAACATCACCCCTAAACAACTTACTTGTTTCATCTATAAGTTTAGCATTCTCCTCCTCCTCCACTATGTAGGCAAGAGTTAACATGGCAATGGATTTCAAGAACTCATCATTTGAATTGATTAAAGGCATTATAACCTGTAGAAGACAAATGCAGTGTATTTCCTTCCACAAGACAGATAAATAAAGTTAGTTAATGTACATTTTGTGTAGAAGACTTGCTCACACCGAGGTTTTATTTTCAACTCTATCAGGATTGAGCAATGCTATGAGCATCGATCGAGAAGTTCCAATTTGCCCAAACACTGTGAGCGTCAATCGTGTGTCCTGTACATATTGCTTCGCACACAGCTCCGTATTTGTTTCTAATGAAGCTGCTTTGAAAGTATTCAGAAAAGGTTACTCTAAAGTTTTTTATTTTTATTTTGTACATTAGCCATTATTCAGCCACGTGTAGTTGCAAACTGATCTTATCCCTTTTCAGACTGCGCCTTCTGTAATTTCGTGTTCGACGCCATGGACACCAGTGTTCCAACCACAAGTACAGGCTGCAATATGAGTCTTTCTGTGGCTGAAGCTCAGAAAATGTTTTAGTGGGATGTTTTAAATTCTGATAATGATAATGAAAATTAAGATTTTCCAGAAAATAATTCAAATGGTTAATTTACACCAGTGTCAGCTAAGCAATCAGCTGTTTAAGAATCTAAGGAATTCCAGAAAAATTTAACTAAAAAGCTCAACAAAGTGAGGAAGCAGAAAAACGTGCACAAAACAACACAACGTAATGTTTCGGTGGGGCAGCCTTTTTCAAACATAAGTGAACTACACAAAAGTAACAACGAGGAGAGGAGAGTATGTAGATCTCTAAGGGGTGAGGTGAGCAACGTTTACAAAAATGTTTAAGAATCTAGCGATTCTGACAAGTTAAACACAGAGAATGATTTACTGTTGCCATATTTAGGATGTAAGAGAAGAAAAGTGCTCCAAACAAAGAGACAGTACCATACTATGGCTAAGCTACACTGAAATCATTGCAGCTACAGTCTGTATATAACTGTACAAAGTAATTAGTAAATATTTGTGTATGTGTAATGGTCAATTTTAGTGACATTTCTTTCCCTGAAATTTGTTTCAGCCCTCTGTGAGAACTAAGAGCCTCTGAGTGCTAAACAAATTTAGAAACTTAGTATAACTTTGGAATATGTTATAAAAGTGAACAAACTTTAAAGTGTTACTCTCATATATGGATATTCACTGCTCTTATGGCTGCAAAACCATGGTAAGTGTTGGATTTTTGTTGTTGTAAAATTTTGTTGTGAAATTAACACCTGCTGATGTCTTCTTTAAATTATAACAGTATTAAATATACACTTAGGCTATCCTCTGAAAAACAGTCCCAAATTATCGAGGCTAAGAAAATACCCTAACAGGGCCTCAACGTTTGTGACTATGCTGCCAGGAAAGGGGGCTAAATATTCAGTAAACAACGCGTGACTAGTGCCACTGTGGTAACGTGTCGCATCCGTGTAAGTTCCATCTATAACCCTTCAATTGATAGAGTCGCGGTTCCACTGTCGTGACAGATTCTGGTGGCGGTGTTGTAATTGCAATACTCCTTACTCTAACCCTAAACCTAGGTTAGAAATTAAACCTAGGACCCAGGGGAGAAGTTAAACCTAGAACCCAGAAAAGAAGTTAAACCTAGGACTCAGGGGAGAAATTAAACCTAGGATCCAGGGGAGAAGTTAAACCTAGAACCCAGGGAAGAAGTTAAACCTAGCACTCAGTGTCGGAGCGTTGACACCCTCGATGATTTTGGACCGTTATTCGGAGGAGTGTTTCCCGAGTTATGCGGTATATTCGCCGGAAAGAAGTCCGCAGTTTTCATATAACTGAGGCCTTGTAAGGGTATTTTCTTAGCCTCGATAATCTGGGACCGTTATTCCAAGGATAACCTATACTTATTATCAAATTCAAAATGTTCATTCATTTCTCTACAAAAAAATAAACACTTCTGTAGTGATTAGAAGTATATAACATACTCTCTATTGTCTTTTTTTTTGTACACCACCCCCCTCGGCTATTTTTATTGAGGAAAATTAATGTGGGCCAAGTCTGTAAAAATTCATATGCCTGAAAGAGTTAAGAAACAGTTTATCAGTAGAATAGGTAATTTAAAAAAATAAAAGGACCCTATTACACCATTAGTATTTCAGTCATGGTGCTAAATGCATATTTGTATAGACCACTCAGTACTTTATTGATGATGTGATCAACATCACACCCAGCTGCCTTTAATTCCTAGGACAATTTCCTGGTACACATTATAAGCTATATCACTATGGTATCTTTTAACTCCCTTGAATCCCAGCCATTACATAATGTGCTCTCTTGAATTTTAAATTTGGTCACAGCATACATAATAAATCTGGCCTTCCAGGTAGCTAATTCCACTGTGTGTTTAACCTCTTTGAAAGTTGGGGTGTATGCACTGATTTGTACTAACATCCCTACTACCTTTGGACAACAAGGTAAACACAGGTTAGTCTAGTTTTAACATAACTGCACGACCTTGGAATGAAGCTTGGCAAAGCATGTCAATTCCATGGTCAAGATAGGGGCAATTATAAGCAACTTCTTATGGGAGCAGTCAGCAGAGGCACCTTGAGGTGGCTGCTGTATCATACAAGTTAGTACTTGGTGTAGCTATTAAGGGTACCCTAAATATAGCATCTTTGGATATTGAATGAGGTATCTAGAATTTATCCCATTGGAATGCCATCTAGAAAGTGACTCTTTGAGTAAAAAGATGATCAAACCTTCATGTAGTAGCCTGTAGGGTAAAAAAAAAAAAACACAAAGCAGTCTGCTGCCAAATTGCCTGCAGCTGGATTCAAACCAGGTGTCTACAAGTAATGAAACTGAACTCTACAATATTAGCACAAAAACCTCTATAAGTAACAAAACTAAACTTGGTACTACAACATCCATACAAGAACACAAGCAGACATTAACAACAATCTGAGCTCACTTCTGTGGTCTTGATTTCTTTGAAGTGATGTTTGACACCCGTACATCTGGCAATGTTGTGTAAAGTACTGAGAGAGGCCTTCAGCACATAGTACACATTCTGAAAACAGACCAAAAATGAAGACTTGCTCACACAGAGGTTTTCTCTTTAAGAATCAGCATTGCGAAAGGCATATAAAATTAGGCTATACCTCCGCCTTACAATGATGTTTATTAGAGCATTCAAAGGCAACCAACAAGGAAGGGACAACTCTTGCCAAGTGAGTCAGGTAACCACATGTCTAACTTCAAGGCAAACAGGTCACCGCCAAAGCTGCTCTGTTTCTGTGGCAACCAAAAACCACACAGTGCCCATTCCTGCCCCTTGTAATGAAAAAATTACATAGACCAGTGATTCCCAAACTTTTACTTAGGTTTGGGTGCCTTGAAAAATTTTAAGTGAAAAACGTGAAGCGAGTAAGAAAGGTTTGGGAAACACTGAAGTATCAGCAAAGAAAACAACATACACATGTATAAAATGCACAAGACAGCCTTCAGAAGTGACAGCACAAACAATCCGGCACCAGTAATGCAGGTCACTGTTAGTATATGGTGCAGTTACAACAAATCAGTAGCTGCATAAGCAATTAACTGCATGATGTACAACCAGTTCTGTGGCAACAGGCCACTGAATCTGCATTTTACAACAATGCCAAGTGATTGTAAGAAGACAATAACCATGTTTATGCTCACCTTGCTGTGCATGTTCTCCAGGTAAGGTTTGTGCCCCAGGTTAAGTGTCATGAGTTTGACAGCACCAGTTTCAGCCAGGCACTGGGTGGGAAGGTAGGTAATGGGAACGGTTATTCATATAAAATGCAAAGAATCATCATTACGGGCAGAGAGATATAACAAAGAGACATGACATATGTGCTTATAACACTAATACAGAAAAACAACATATGTGCTTTAACACTAATACAGAGACACAACATATGTGGTACACCACTAATACAGAAACATGACATATGTTCTATAAACACTAACACAGAAACATGACATATGTGCTACAATATCAACACATAGACATGATATACGTCCTACAGCACTGACACAGAAACATGACACATGTGCTACAACACTAACACAGAGACATGACATATGTGCTACAACACTAATACAGAGGTACAATATATATGCTACAACACTAATACACAGACATGACAAATGTGCTGGATTACTAACACAGAGACATGACATATGTGCTACAATATCAACACAGAGACACGACATATGTGCTACAACATTAACAAAGAGACATGACATATGTGCTACAACACTAACACACAGACATGACATATGTGTTACAACACTAACACAGAGACATGATATATATGTTACAACACTAACACAAAGACATGACATATGTGCTATAACACTAAGATATAGCATATGTGCTACAACACTAACACAGAGACATGACATCTGTGCTAAAACACTAACACAGAATCATGACATCTGTGCTACAACACTAACACAGAAACATTACATCTGTGCTACAACACTAAAACAGAGACATGACAAATGTGCTACAACACTAACACAGAGACATGACATCTGTGCTATAACACTAACACAAAGATATGACATATGTGCTACAACACTAACACAGAAACATGACATACATGCTACAACACTAACACAGAGACATGACATATGTGCTACAACACTAACACAGAGACATGACACATGTGCTACAACACTAACACAGAAACATTACAAATGTGGTACAACACTAACACAGAGACATGACAAATGTGGTACAACACTAACACAGAGACATGACAAATGTGCTATAACACTAACACAGAATCATGACATATGTGCTACAACACTAACACAAGGACATGACATAGGCATTACAACACTAACACAGAATCATGACATATGTGCTACAACACTAACACAAAGGTATGACATATGTGCTACAACACTAACACTGAGACATTACATCTGTGCTATTACACTAAGATATGACATATGTGCTACAACACTAACACAGACATGACATATGTGCTACAACAGCAACAAGTGACCCACCTTGGCCAGTTTCTCACTAGCATCGCTGTAATTCCAGCAAGTGTTGTATGTGTAGTAGGTTGGGAACCAAATATCATCGTTCTTGAAAATCCCCAGGCTGTTCATCTGTTTCAGCATGTTGATTGTGATCTCTGGCAATAATAGCAGCAGAGCTGTACTCATTACAGGAATATGTAGAGGTAATACTAGAGACTAAAGTCGCTGAACGCTACAGAGGCTTGAAGTTTGTCAGCTTAGCCAAAGGTTTTCCATTGGCACCAACACCAGAGAAAGCAGGGTTCAACATAATGCCAGCCACTTTTACTCCACAGAACTTTTCCTGACATCCATTTTAAGCAGGGCTGATCTTGGAGAATTGGTGAATTTCTTTTTCGAACATCTTGTTTCAAGGGGGATTTGAACAAGACTACTGGAACAGCAGGCAAGCATGTTCTAGTGAATGCGAGGGAAGGTCTAAGTAGTCACTGTAAACCCCACATTATGCTACTGTTGGTTTGTTTCTATCTGCACAGGACTGCAGGTTACACCTGGCAGGTAAATCTGTTAACAGGTGATCTAATTATAACTTCTTTGGAGGTTTAATGGGGCATCTGGGATCTGGCTTGTTGGTCTGATTTTTACTTCTTCTTCAGCATTCCTAGCTTTTGAGGTTCCTTGCTGCAGATATCACAAACCTCCACTCATCTCTGTGACTAGTTCTCTCTTTTCAGTTGGTGACTCAAAGTGCTTGCAAGTCTGCCTGTATATTATCTCTCCACAATCTTCTTGGTCTGCCTCATGCTCTATGACCATTCAACTCCCTAGTACAGTTTTTACCTCTCTGTCATCTGACATTCTCTCAATATGCCCCAGCCATTTCTGGATACCATACCATCTAGATTGAGATTGCTTAAATCTCTGGATGGTATGGTAAACCTTTAGGTAGCAACCTAGATGGGACAAATAGACTAATAAAATTATTGATACCTTGACGGTCCAGGAACTGGTTTAGCTTGTTTACTCGTTAACATGGATTCACAGCCATATCCTGTAACTGGTTCTGTGTAGCGTGCTAGAACTCTTTTTCTAATCTCCAGTAACAGGGATGTATTTTACAAGATAATCTTCATTTCATAAAAAAAATTTTTTTTAACCTTTTCTAGTCTGTCACATAAATTGCCTAGATGTCTATTAGTAAAGTCTATTTAACTGTTTCAATCCCAGATTATTTAGCAAGCAGATGTCCAAAGGGGAATAACCATAGCCAGAGGAGTACGATGCATCAGATATAACACTTTTAAAGAAGCAATACACACTACTGCAAATTAAAATATCTAACCAGATTTATTTAGTATGTTCAGATCAAAGATGACATACATAGTAACATACACAATGCTATTTGGCAATATACATGGTGCTTTGGTTGGGACTCAAAGAGTTGAAATGTTCAGCTTACCAGCGTATCCAAGATCAGCCAGGTAGTCCCCAATCTCAGTCCTCTCATTGGTGTAGTCCCAATATAGATCACCAATTGCCTTCTGATACTTCATCCCATCTCCATGGTGATATTCCTCCAGATTTTTCAACTCTGTCACAGCAAAGGCCACCCTCTCCTTCACCTGGTCGATGGTCAGGTTCTTGCTCCTAGAGTCAATGTCGTTCTTTGAGGTAGCATTCTGAAATTCAATGGTAGTATGTGCTGTAACAGTTTACTTGTAGTTAGACCACAGATGGGAAACTGACTCTACACAGAATAAACAAGCTGTGACGAGCTGGTCTGGACAGCTGTTTCTGCCCTTTTAAGTATTGCTTTGTATTAGCAATATTATTAAATTTTCTTACCTTTTACTTATTGCTTCATTATAGCAATATTATTAATTCATTAATTAAAAGTTGAAAGGTATAAAAGAAGAAGGTACAGTAGAATTAACTCAGAGTTACTTCCCCCTTTTTAGGACTTCTTACTTTCATTTTCAAACAAGAACACATGGTATGCTAGATGGTTCTCTGCGTTTATGACTCAGTATAACCCACTGCAGTCACCATTGTGTGTTTGAATTCCCTACCAGGGGTGAGTGAATAGAATTAGTTTAATTTGATCTATTGCTACTATTCCTCTGAATTAATTTGATCTGCTGAACTCTATGAAATGTGATGCCCACATGGCTTAGAAACTGTGATAAATTCCCTTATCCTTACTAACAATGTTAATGATCTAGTATCTACATGTATGCGAACATATGATCTATTTGATGATTAAAATAATGTTTATTTGATACTAGAAACGTGCATTGGTATTTTTTAATTATTATAATTATATTAATTAAGTGGGAATTTATGTCCTCATGTGAAATCTTGGCCAGTTCCGATTTCCAGCATGGTGAGACAATTAATAAAGGAATGAAGTGTAGGTTCTCCCTTAAACTACGGTCGGTTAGTCGGAGTTCAGTCCCCTGGCTACAGTGCAATTACGGAGTGGAGAAGCAACGAATCACAAAACAAAGTGAGGTCAACATTATCAGATATAGCGGCGGTCATTATGGGGTAAGTACTCGACGTTACATGTGTTACCCTAACCCTACCCCTACTCCTAACCCTAACCCACATCCTAGCTGTATGATGACAGCAGGGCACTGCACGCTGTCTATCGCCAACACACAGTAATTATGTCATTTGTTTCATTGCCTCTTGTCAACTCCGTAATTGCACTGCAGCCAAGGGACTGAACTCTGACTAACCGGCCGTCTAACCGGCCGTAGTTTAAAGGAGAGCCTAAAGTGTATATTCGGCTCTCCTTTAAATAACGGTCGCTAGCTGGAAGGCGACAGCCGCTTAGTCGGAGTTCAGTCCCCTGACTGCAGTGCAATTACGGAACTGACAAGTCACGAATCGAAACAAAGTGAGGTCGACATGGCTGCTAGAGCTAGACCACGCGCTGCGACTGACAGTAGCGACCGCGCTCCTCCGACGCAAGACTCTCGTAAACCACGCGCTGCGACTCAATTTAGCGACCGCGTTCACTTACCGCTTCTTGCGACGGCTGCCACTCAATTTAGCGACCGCGTTCACTTACCGCTTCTTGCGACGGCTGCGACTCAATTTAGCGACCGCGGTCATTTACCGCTTCTTGCGACGCCTTACGGAGTGGACTAGAGGGAACGACACAAGTAACATAAATACTATGTGTTGGCGATAAACAGCGTGCAGTGCCCTACTGTCATCATACGGATTGGGTTAGGGTTTGGGTTAGGTTTAGGGTTAGGGTTGCTACTTTGAGTTTGTGCGAAGACGAGATGCGGCGACACTAACCCTAACCCTACCCCAAACCCTAACCCTACCCCTAACCCTACCCCTAACCCTACCCCAAACCTTAACCCAAACCCTAAGCCTAACCCTAGGATGACAGGTAACTATATCATTTGTTTCGTTCCCTGTCTTCCACTCCGTAATTGCACTGCAGCCAGAGGACTGAACTCCGACTAAGCGACCGTCGCCTTCCAGCTAGCGACCGTTATTTAAAGGAGAGCCGCTAAATTTAATATTTACACTGTCGGAGAAGAAGAAGAGAGATGTATGGCCCATGCTTGTAATATTTAGTAATATAGATGTCTGAACAACTGTTAGAATCAACATTATAACAAAAAAGTGACGAAATCAGAGAAATATCTAAAAACTGCTAGTATCAACATTATAACAAAAAGGTGAAGAAATCAGAGATGTCTGAACAACTGCCAGTATCAACATTTTAACAAAAAGGTGAAGAAAATAGAGAGATGTCTGAAAAACTGCTTGTATCAACATTATAACAAAAAGGTGAAGAAATTAGAGAGATATCTGAACAACTGCTAGTATCAACATTATAACAAGATGATGAAGAAATCAGAGAAATATCTGAACAACTGCTAGTATCAACATTATAACAAAAAGGTAAAGAAATTAGAGAGATATCTGAACAACTGCTAGTATCAACATTATAGCAAAAAGGTGAAGAAATTAGAGAGATGTCTGAACAACTGCCAGTATCAACGTTATAACAAGATGATGAAGAAATCAGAGAAATATCTGAACAACTGCTTGTATCAACATTATAACAAAAAGGTGAAGAAATTAGAGAGATGTCTGAACAACTGCTTGTATCAACATTATAACAAAAAGGTGAAGAAATTAGAGAGATGTCTGAACAACTGCTAGTATCTACATTATAATAAAATGAAGATGGCGACAGACGGGGTACATACTGAGGTGATGCTAACAAAGAATCACATAACAGGCACTGAAATAGGAAACAAATAGACACAAAAAGCAGTGATATTCAAGATAATCTCTATGATAAACTTTGATGAATGAGGCTGAAAGTGTTAGACTGGATTTTATGCATGCTACTGAAAGGACTGCACAGGGTAGAATGCAATAGAGGAATTGACTGTGAGCTCTATGTGACGTATACAAGTCAGAACACCACGATGATTATAATGATATTACTGTTCTTTTTCTTTATCATGGCGGGGTTGCAGCTCGTATAAGAGACAGAGGTCAACAGCAGGTAAAAATACTTGATGGATTATAATTTGTTTTACAATCTGTACTGTCTCCACAACTGAGGCAGGTGGTTGTGCATTCGCTACTGTCTCTGGAAATATGTAAAGTTGCAATGACATCCATGGTACATGTAATGGGGGATATTTTCACCCTGACTGGAAAGGTTGGGGAGGGGGGGGGGGGGAAGCCCTAAACTTACAATAATACAGAGAGAAACCAGATACTTGGATTAACCGAGGTTTTCAAGATAGGGGACGACCACGAGTTATCATGTGGAACTAAATGAGAACGACCACAGGTCGCCACGTAGAACCCAAGAACAAGCACGTGGTGCCATGTGGAACGAACACTGAGTATAGGATCAGACCCCAGTTGGTATGTGTTAGTATGTGACCGTCAGAGCGAGAGGACGTGAGAGTGTTCTTAAGAATGACAACGTGAAACTGAGTGTTGCGAAAGGAAGACCAGACGACAACATCCATCGAAGCCAAGTCCAGCCAAGCCATGTGGTGGAAAGCTTGAGGGAATGACCAGATCCATCTATGCGACGATGTGGAAGTGAAAGCTCTGAACTCTGATCGATGAATGTGTGAGAAGTCAGCGTGTTGGAATCTGAACAATGTGGTGCATGTAAGCTGTGAATTAGGACACGGACATGACTTTCTATGTAAGTGATGAGATGTCAATAAACTGTTTTGTACTTTGAAGTCAGTGTCGGCTTGTCCCAGTTATGTCATCTCAAGAATGTGTGCTAAGATCATTCACTAGACACATCATCTCCTAGACGACAAGCCCAAGGTCATCAACAACTTACTGCAAGTAGAAGACGACTTATTGCAGTACAACTTTCATAACATTGTCTGAAAGCCATGAGAATAATCTCTTTCATGGAGCAACTGCCATACCACTGTCTGAAAGCCAGGAGAACAATCTCTTTCATGGAGCAACTGCCATACCACTGTCTGAAAGCCATGAGAACAATCTCTTTCATGATGTGAATCGTTAACCACTGTCTGAAAACCATGAAAACAATCTCTTTCTAAAGTATCCATAACAGAAATAGAACTCGAGGATTATGAAATGCGATCACTAACTTCTATGCCAAAGAGCTGCACCGTTCTGTAGATGATCAAATGTCCAACAGAATGGGAAACATTGCTTCAGATATCTAGGGCAGTTATCGTTGTTCAAATATTTGTGTTTTGGTAGTACAGGAGTGTTCAGAAATGAACAGCCAGACAGGTTGGTTGGTTCTGCACCAATGGGTGATGAATTCATGCGTGACAAGCTAGAGGTGGTCAGGGCCTTTGGGAGCCAGTGAACAGTGCAGAGGCATGGACAGATTATTATGGTCTGGAGAGAAATGTTCAGCTAGGAGTGACCAGGGGAGCTTGTCAACACTCAATACGCTGAGAGAAAAGGAAAGACTGAAGTACGATCAGACTGCTACTGGCATCATGGGGAAAGGGGTGCATGTGGGGGATGTGTGTGCATGCATGTGTGTGCAATTGTCTGCATGTGTGTGTGGGGTGAGTGTAGTGTGTGTGGGGTGGGTGTAGTGTGTGTGGGATGTGTGTGTTGTGCGCATGTTGTGTGTATGTTGCGTGTGGTGTGTGTGAGAGAGAGATGGAGAGAGAGCCTAATATCAGCCTCTTATGGCTTGTTGACATAATAACTCTGAGGCACTTATTACAATGACAATTAATATACTACACCAACTACAGTTGTTACACTTATGTTTCTATTAGGATATATGTTTTTAAGATATATTATGTGTATGGGACAGATGCATGTTACCTGGAGTGTGTCTATGTGTGTGTGTATGTGTGTTCTCATGGCGTATGTGTGGTGGACAAATAAACACCTCCTGTATCTTTTGGGCAGATGCATATGGTGTGTCACATGGCGTGTTATGTTTTGACAAATGTATGCTGTGTGCGAATTAGTGATGTCAAGTGTTTTGGGTGGATATGTGTGCTGTGTCCGCGCGTGTGTGGTGTGTATGCGAATGCCTAACCTTGACATTGTTGACACTGGGACTGTTGTCATGTTTGGCCTCATCCCGGACTTTGCTGTGGCTGACCGCGCTGCTCTCCCCGGATGACCCGATGTGGTTGGCTGTGGTGGACGCCTGACGATAAGCTGACCTGTCCGATGCATTGTTCATCATTGTGACATCCGACTCCTGCACGCTTACTGGTCCATCTGGGGACACAAGACACGGATCAAAAATCATATTTTCATCTCAGGGCTAACCCAGCATTGATCAGTGGTTGTTTGGTTTTATACTCCTTTCTTCTGAATGTGGAGAGAAAAGTGCAGCAGGGACTGACCAGGGGATCTGATCCACGTTCTGCACTGAAAGGAAAGGCATGACGGCAACATAACCAAACTGCTTCTGGTACCAGCTGCACTGAAACTCTTGGCTGGCTGCAGAAGATGAGAATCACACCAGTAGCAAACAGCAGTATCTTCTATAATTGTAGAGGATGTGGGTGGGGGAGGGATAACTTACTGATAACTCAAGGGTCCAACTCTAGCCTAAGAGGCCGGGTATGAGTCACAGTGTGCAATCGCACAGAAAAAACACCCCGAAGGAATTCTCCTGCTTGCAGTCTAAGTCGTAGGCTATGGAACCGTGAGCCTGGTCTAATCGAATAAGGGCGACACAGCTATGAGGAAGCACAATGCACGTTAAAGATCCTTGAATGAACATTACTGAAGAGGGTACACCGAAATTGTTTTTGTGTGAACTATTATATAGTTTATATACGATTAAACGGGAAACTAGTACGTTCATGTGGGGTATACCAGACCTGACATCACACTTGTGACAAAGCCTTTGGACGAACACTAGCCTGATCATCGAACGGGAAAATGCAATTTGAACACTTCATATTATGGCAGGGTTGACCAGGCCCTCAGTCTTGACTGACAGCTGGTGTCAGAGAGAAGTTCCGACCCACGTACAGAACACTGGAGGGGTCACACTCAAAAACTCAATCAACAATGAGACCAAATACAACACACATTTTTCGATCCTCTGCCTCATATTGAAATCTCCCAAATGTCCGCCTCAAACACTCGATCAATAGTAAATCAATAACTCATGGACATTTTAAAATGTGCTCCCCTCCAACAATAGCATTCCTAATTCCTACGTCCGCATTTTTCTTTCTTTTCAAGTTCTACTTGTCTTCTTCTTCTGCCTTTCTATCCCCCAATGAAGCATAGGCCCTCAACCAACTCACGCCAAGTCTTTCTATCCTTCGCCATTACATGGAGCTCTCCCCATGTCCTCCCCATCTTTCTAACTTTATTTTCAAGCTATCTTCTCCACGTTTTTGTTTGTTTTTGGTTGGCCTTCCTTTATTCCTATGCCCCTGATGGTTCCAATGCAAAGACATTCTAGTTATGCTGTTCTCCTGTTTTCTCAGTGTGTGTCTTATCCAACGCCAGCGTCTTTTCCTTACCTCTTGGTCCACTGGAGCCTGTTTAGTTCTCTCCCAAAGCTCTACTACTTGTCGGCTCAATTTATTTGTCAAAATATTTGTGCGGATTAATGTTTCGCAATACATCATGTTTTACTGAATGTCAATACACTGATTCTGTTAAAAGTAGCAATATTTTACAAGTGTATGGTGTCAATAATATACATGCTTATTGATGTGAGTGGCTGTTTTCTACAGGGCTGTAATGCTGTTTAAGTAGCCATGATAAGATCCAAACACTCAATAACAAATCTATCCATTCAGTCACTCACTCACTCCTCTATCCAATATCTCACTCATCCATTCATTCACTCGTCCACCCACTCACTCATCCATCCACTCATCCACCTACTAATTCACTCACTCAACCATCCACCAATTCACTCACTCATCCTTCTACACATTCACTCACTCATCCATTCACTCCCTCATCTATAGGCTCATTCACTCATCTATAGGCTCATTCACTCATCCATCCCCTCACTCAGTCGTCAATCCACTCATCCACCGACCTACTCATTCATTCACTTATTTAACTATCCACTTGCTCATACATCCACTCTTTGATTCACACACCCACTCATTCAATTATCCATCCAAACACTCACTTGTCTACCCATTCGCGCATTCATTCACCTACCCATTCACCTAGGCACTCCCTAATCCGCCCACTCACTCATCCACCGAATCATTAACTCACCCATCCACTCACTCATCCATGCCCTTATTCATTCACCCACCCACTCAACCACTCATTATCTTACTCATCTATACACCAATTCACTCATCCACCCACTTACTAATCTGCCCATCCTCTCACTCATTCCCCTTTCACTCAACCCCCCCCCCCAATCCCCATTCACTCAGACCCCCCCCCCCCCCCCCCCCCCATTCACTCAGTTATCCACCCACTTCCTCATTCACCCACTCACTTACTCATTTGCTCATTTACCAACGCAACTCGTACACCAATTCATTCACTTATCCACCCATTCACCCACCCATTTATTCATCCACCCACCCACTCATTCACCCACCCACCCTCTCATTCATCCACTCACATATCTACACACTCACCCACTAATGCACCCACTCACTCATTCATCCACCCATTCACTCACTCATCCACCCATTCACTCACCTATCCATATACTCACTCATCCACTCATGCACCTAATCACCCACCCACTCATTTATCTACACACTCACTTACTAATGCAAGCACTCACTCATTCATCCACCCATCCACACACTAATCCATCCACCCACTCGTTTATCTACCCATTCACTCACTCATTCACCCACCCACTCACTCATCCACCCATTCACTAAATCATCTACCTACTCACCTAATCACTCACTTATTCACCCACCACCTACTGATCCACTGACAGGCTCGGCGGGGATATAGCCTAAAAGTCAAAACAATCCCCCCCCCCCTCCCTTCCCCTCCCCACCCCCTCCCATTCACATGAGCAATACAAGTGAATGCTAGCAAATAATAAAACAAAACAAGTAATCCATCACAGCGTAACATGTACCTATGACACAAGTCTTGTAAAAGGAGTCCCAGTGAGACAGCACTAGGGGAATTCGGTTTGGTCGCGGTGGCGAAGACACAACTCCAGACGATTTCCGGCCACGTGATGTCGCAATGGAACGTAACTCGGTGGCCATGATAACATACTAGTAACGATTCAACTAAACACTCTACATGTACTACTGCTACTTCAGCGATGGGGCTAGTTTACTGTTCACATTATGAATTCATGGCTGGCAGGCGTGTACAACAGACAACTATATTACATACAACCAGCTATGACTAGAAAACTCAATGGAAAGAACGGAAAAAGACAGCGATAGGTGTAGACCAAGTCTTTATCAACGGACAAAACAATAGAATGATAAACAGCCGGCAAGTTCACATAGACACATACGGGTAAATACAGAGATCGCCCAGTTAATTCTATGATTTATATACGACATCCTGAACTATTGAGTGACAATTATATAATCTGAACATTTGGAAACTATTCCGATTCTCTTCGTCGGGTTCACATAACATGGGAAGGAAATCACGAGAAATACATTGAAGGAGACCATGTAATTTAACTGTAGATTATATTATATTGAAAATTATATTATATACAGTTATAGGCTGGTAACGCATCAAGTAAGAGCAGTTATACAGAACTGCCCTAGAAACAATGCGGAAAACATGGATCGACAACATTAAAGACACCCTACGCCTTCACGGCATGACACTAGCCAGTGGCAGCCAACGTGCACTGGATTGCAAATTATTCCTCCCCACGGCGCTTAACGGCAGAAGTGGTTTATGATGATGATGATGAGCGCATCTTTGTCAGAATGTATCTACCGTGCTAAAACAAAACCAGCTTCACTCCTTCAGATCTTTCAGGGATAACCAATACTCTGCAACCTGAGTGTAGCCGGTTGCAACACACTACCCCTGAGAGAATGAAGAGACATGTCATCGAGACAGTCAATTTCAACAGACACTTTTCACTTCAAGTATAACTGAACACAAGAACAAACAGGCAAGCATAATTCAACACAGAGAGATTACGGCGCATACATTATATATTCTAGTGACACATCTGTTATCCAAGCTCATTTAGCTTAGGCTAACTGTTGGTGCGTGACCGATAAAACAACTATAATTTATTTTGTGTTACATGATAATGTTTCTCTTCTGGAAGCCGCCGTGGTCTAGCGGCTAGACGTTCGCCTGCGGATCGGAAGGTCGTGGGTTCGGTTCCCGAGGAGGGCCTGATTATATTGAAAAATGACCTTGGCTCTCAGGTCGACCCAGCCTTTGAACGGGTATGAGGCACAGTCCTGGAAAGTAAAGGCAGCCGGCGTGATGCTGACAACATCACCCACCAAGTGCCGTTTGGTCTATAAAATTTCTCTATAATGACGTTTTATTCCCCCCCCCCACCCACCCCCCACCCCCCCCCCCACCCCCCCCCCCCCCCCCCCCCCCCCCCCCCCCCCCCCCCCCCCCTTTTTCCCCCCAATCGACTGACGTTTCGGCTTTCTCTGTACTTGCTTAATTGCTCACTATCTGCCGTATGCCGCTAGGTATCGCATATTATTTTAAAAGAAAGAAAGAAATAGGTAGCCAAGCTAGGGCGCGGTCAGCTGCTTGGTGTATTGTCATCTTGTGAAGGTCGTCAGTGACTCCTCCTTTCCATCTCCTTCTAAGTCTCCCTCTCCCTCTGTGTGTTTCCATTCTCCTGCTGTAAGCTCTGGCTGCTGGCTTCATTGTTTACTTCAAAATCGTCCAACACTGCACGTCTGACATACTGTTGGTGCTCCGATCTTCCACTCAGCAAACTTATCAGTGTGTCTATGCTGACGACTCCTGTGCTGTACTAGATGTTGTAGCGACTGTGAACTTTTGCATTGTTTTCCCGTCATGCTGGCAAATCTAGACTTCGTATAACAGAGAGAAATCATTACCTTTAGATCTGAGTTCTTCAGCACTTGTGGTCAGTCGTATAGTATTAATCATATCCACTATTTCTACTTGCTAGGGTGACATCGTCAGCAAGGGTATCCGCTCTCATGTTGTAATCTACACTGGCCTATCCTGGGACATATATGAATGTAATGGCACGAAGCGTTACTTTTTGTAATGGTCGATCACTGATCGTTGATCACCATCGCTGGATTCAGGGCTGTGCGATATATTTTCTTAGTATGATGCAAATCTTCTAAAGCCGCCCTTAGGTTGCCACCTCCTTAGGGTGCCACCTCCTTATGGTGCCACCTCCTTAGGGTGCCACCTCCTTAGGGTGCCACCTCCTTAGGTTGCCACTTCCTTAGGGTGCCACCTCCTTAGGGTGCCACCTCCTTAGGGTGCCACCTCCTTAGGGTACCACCTCCTTAGGGTGCCACCTCCTTAGGGTGCCACGTCCTTAGGGTACCACCTCCTTAGGGTACCACCTCCTTAGGGTACCACCTCCTTAGGGTGCCACCTCCTTAGGGTACCACCTCCTTAGGGTGCCACCTCCTTAGGGTACCACCTCCTTAGGGTGCCACCTAGTAAGAGTAAAACACCCTGCTCGTGTCCTTGCTGCATTGGGCTTTTCCGTTACAAGTCAACAGAAACCAGTAAAATGCCAGCAGAAATGAGTGAAAACTCAACAGAAACAGTATTATACTGTGCAACAGAGACATGAGAATCACACCACATGGCGATAACCAGTGTGAATAGTAAGTAAGACCCGTTCGTGTTAAGAAAAGTCTTCCATAATTAGAACATGGGACTTCGGGACCAAAACGTCTACTTGCCAAGCTCTGCAACTGGAAGTATTGACCAAACAAGCACTCGCAGCGGCTGACAGACAACCGTAGAGGAAAAGATGTACAGACGCCAACTGCTAATACAGGGCTAGACACAAAGCCCAATTTGCTTAACTGACGACTGACATTCAGTAACAAACTTATATACGCTAACTGGTTACACAGTAGCTAGCTCTCTTACAAGTTCCTGTTTTATTAGGACTCAGTTATTCTTGATTATTCTAACAGTTCAGAAACATTTTAACATGACTTTATTAAAACACATCATCGGAACTGACATCATTGTCCCGCGAAGAAGCACGCAGATGTTTAACCCCCCTTCCCTCTCAGTATACGACACTGGATAGTGATGTTGCAACACTACCGACGACACGCCCGTGCACACTCCTGCCTACTAATGACTCCATAGTGCTTTCATGAGACTACACTCCTGCCTACTATTGACTCCATAGTGCTTTCATGAGACTATACTCCTGCCTACTAATGACTTCATAGTGCTTAGATGAGACTACACTCCTGCCTACTAATGACTCCATAGTGCTTTCATGAGACTACACTCCTGCCTACTAATGACTCCATAGTGCTTTCATGAGACTACACTCCTGCCTACTATTGACTCCATAGTGCTTTCATGAGACTATACTCCTGCCTACTAATGACTCCATAGTGCTTAGATGAGACTACACTCCTGCCTACTAATGACTCCATAGTGCTTTCATGAGACTACACTCCTGCCTACTAATGACTCCATAGTGCTTTCATGAGACTACACTCCTGCCTACTAATGACTCCATAGTGCTTTCATGAGACTTCACACTAAACAACTGCTTGAATGTCTACCAGCTAGCCAGATCAGTGGCATCCTATTTCAAGCGGGAAGACCTACTAGGGAAAAACGACACCCAATATGATAAAGCGTCGTTAGCAACGAAACTCATAATAATACACCTGTGCCATCGCCACAATGAAGGATCGCTGTCTAGAATATGTGTGTCCTCTCAAGTCACCAGAACAGTCATGTTAATAAGCCACTCGGCACGGGAACGAACCTAGTGTATCGAGGATTGTGAAATGTGTGTATTAACGTCAAACTTACAAAGTCGCAATCATTTTACTTAGTTTTAACAAAAATTATACGCCGTCTTCACAATGCAGGTTGGCTGCAATGTACCACTGTTGTCTTTGGCATTATATGTGGTGAGTGCCCTATCTCTTCCTCGGCGCGATTCTCGTACAACTATCCGGCGGGGGAACAAGCACAGGCACCAGTGGACCATGAGACTGTTGACCGCATTCGCTAACCTTCCAGCTTAGAAACCGCACATTTAGTTCAGACGCGTTTCAAATACAAACATGACATTTATTCAAATCTAAATAAATGTCACAAAGTCGCCAGCAGTATGCATGATTGTGACTCGACATCTCATTAAAACACCTTGCCATATATTATGTAACCTTAACAGAAATCACAACACAAAATCGAGTCAGTCAGGAGACAAGCATTTGCTATGCCCACGAATGGAACAACCACATAGAGCACTCTCAGACTTGCTGGCTAAGGGAGAAGACCGTGTGTTTGTGGACAATTTCGCCCCCCGGCCACAGAAAATATAAACAAAAAGTTGGAGGGAAAAAAAGGCAAAATAAACACGCATATACGCACAAACACAACAGAGCTGATGCCGGCTCACGAGATGCCATAATGAGTGTGTTTGCAGAAGATTAATAGACCTGGCAAGTCGGCTGTGATCTCCGGTGGGGAATGCCAGACGTTTGATTGCTGCCTGAGATTGACGAGGAAGGGCCGAGGGTCATAAATATCAACAACAAAAGAAGGGATGCATATTTCGAGAAATAATATATCTGGTTGAGTAGGTAATGTCCAGCTGTAAGGCTCTGCTGGTTGTATCAGGGCATATAGGCATGTTTTTTATGTTTCGTTAATTGGGATCTAGCTCCCGACATTCTCTTCCTCTTCTTCTCTAAGTCCATGGCGTGTGACAGTTGGTAGTCATGTCTATCCACAACCTTTTGTCTCGTATACTTTTAATCAACTCTGACATAGATGATCCTCGACGCCATGATGTTTAACTGTCCAGCATCTGTTCTCTCGGTCTTGCTCTGCCTCTCCTCCCTTCCCACTTTCCTAACGTCACGATATACTCCAGTTTTTTTTTTCCTTTCCATCACATGACCAAAGAATGTAGATTGTCTCTTTCCGATGTGGGCAATCAGTTCTCTTCGTGAGTCAGTTTCAAGACATCTTTATTACTTTTGTTTATCTTTCCAAGGTACTCTTATCATTCGTCTCTAATACCACATCTTCGCAGCTTCCAAATAAA